ATTCCATATGAAAAGTCCAAAAAATAACATAGATTTAACGATTACTCTATTTTATAATACCAGGGTATGACTTTTTTAGTAAATCGTTAAATCTATGTTATTTTTGGATTTTTCACATGGAATACGTTGTAAATAAGTACTAGAAACATAATTCATGACCAAAAAAAAATAAAAATATTTTGACCAGGGGTGTATATAGGGGAGGAGGGGTCCTGTCCACAAGTACCTGTGTTACATAGTGCCATTGTGCACCTCCTATTTTACTTGTTGTTCATACACTTATTTAGAGTCTCCCAGAGCAAAACATGGACTTTGCCATTATAACCATATAATGGGAGGTGGGGGGGGGTATCATTTAGTGAGCTCAGTCAGATGATGATTGCTCATAGTACCTCTAGTTACATAATGCTAGTGCATCTCCTATTTTACTTTTTTTGATCAGAGACTTATTCCAGTTCTCCCAGAGCAGAACACGGACTTTGCCATTATAAACATATGGGAGGCAGGGGCATCATCTAGTGAGATCATAGCTCACAGTCCCTCTAGATTTTTAAATTGTATTTATCTCATTTTAATAAGGGTGTTAAGCATTCTGAAGGGTAAGTAGGCTTTTTCAAGAATTTTACATAATTTGCCGAGATTTGTGAATCTTAACATACAGTTGAATAGTAATTTAAATTGCAATTAGGCCACAAATGAAGCAGGAGTAGCATTTGAAAGTATTTCAAAGAAACTTTGATTCTAAGTTACCATGGCAACACTATCTATTTAAATCAAAATCTGAGATGTTATTGTGTATCTAAGTCATTCGTGTAGTCTACTTGTGTGCAAAGTTATTTTCAAATCAGACCAAAATTGTAGGAGGAATAGAGTTTTAAAAGATTTCATAGAAAATTCTACCTTTAGTAACCATAGCAACCTGTTCATCAAAATCAAAAACTGATACAGTGTACATAGAATCATGTATCTAAGTGTACTGTAAATCACATTTTATTCGCGAGAACTTTATTTTCGCTTAATTACGCGAGACAATGCGTTCGCGAAAATTTAATTCTCGCTTATAAAAGTATTCCTTACGATTATATATTGGAATAACAACTATTCGTGAAATTATGTCTCACTTACAAAGAGTCAATGACAATCTCGCGTAAATAAGGTGTCGCGAAAATTTAGTGAGACAGCGCTAAATCAAATCTATGCTAACTTGTTGAAAATTGAATTTCCACCAAATATCGTACACGTCAAATGTAATACATTTACAGTAACTAACTATATAAGCATCAATGTTCTGCCTATAAACAGCAGAATCAATCGCTCCCATAAAGAAGAGGCAGATGTTACAGAACTTCAATTTCCGACTCAAATTTTGTCATAAAACACCCCAAACACATGAGAACTGGATACTTGATTCAATGTGTCGCACTGTTACTTCTGACAGCAGCTGGGCTGGACTAGAAACGGAGTATTTTGGAACTTCCCTAGATGTATTTGACCAGAATGTCAAAACAAATAAAGAATTGCAAACAAAAGTACAAAGTCAATACAAAATTTATTTAAACAATTCTTGAAAAAACTTCCGAAATACGTGCCAAAATCTACTATAAAACATTTTATCCAGAACAATCAATACCAATCCCGCTTTGTATAGCTCAATTCCTTATTGATTCTATAATCCAGTGCACAGAGCTGTGTGCAACAGGTGCCACAGCAACTCTGACTCTAGCAAAGTGGAACTTTGCTGTCATTTAGAACATTGCCAAAAGAGCCAGTCAGGTATTAGCCCCAAAACATATAACATAAATAACACTTCTGGTCAGTCCTGTCCAATATTCAATGTCTTCACCTTTGTCAGTCTATGGCCATTTGTTCTATCTATTCACCACACCCTACCTTTAAAAAATCTGAATGTTTTCAGAACTAAAAGATAAGCCTTTAAATTGGCTGATTAAACAAGCCTTTCCTGTCCAAATTTAAATGGCACTGCATTCTGATAATTCAAAGAACTTGCCAACAAGGTAATATAAAGCCAGACATCTTACCATTGGACCTTTCTCTGTGACAGGTCCCCAATTCTCCATACCTGTTTATTGCCCTCAGTACCGAGAAGGACCATAAAAAGATATAAATAGAATGTCTGCAATAAATCTTTGGCAATTACTTAACTTCCAGAAATGGGTGCCAAAGTTTAAATGCTCAAATACAAGCATTCCATATTTGGAGAATCATTAAACACGTATGGAAATTGTATATGTTTAATATTTCATATGTAAGCTCTTACACTGTTCCAAACAGGAAATGTATAGTATTTACAGCAGAACACAAGCCAAACGATGTGGAAATATACTCGACTGTTACCGCAGATTTCTGAATAAGATGCTCGCTCAAGTATGAAACTTTGGAAATTAGTTCTAACACTTTACCCGCGTGATATTTCTTTGTCGATGTTGACAAATTCCACAACTTTGGTCAATTAAACAATACACTTACCAAGTAGGTAGATGTTCGATGTTAAGATTTCGCCTTCCTGTGATCAAATCTATGTCGACTTGATGTCGTGATAGTTATAAATCGGCGACGAATAGGATTTTCTGCTACAGGCGAAATTCCTTCTCTGCGTTGTAAACCGTGATAAATAGTTGGTTTGCGAACGACAGAGGGCGCGATTTCTCTCAGAACGACAATATTCTACTAAAAATGGTAAAAACTGACTTAAACTTTGCACCTATGACAATTTCTTCTATTACCATATGTTCACCAAAAAATATTAATTCGGCAGACTATGTAAAGCATGCTAACTGTGCTCGACATTGGCACCAATTACCAGAATTACAGCTGGCAAACAATTACTCAGCTCAGGGTTTTCGCAGCCATATACTACTGGGATATAATTGAGGATATTAATTTTGGAGTCAGCAGAATATAAGATTTTCTATAATAATGTAGTCCAAATGTGTAATTTCTAGACATATTCTCTGTGCATGAACATGACCATAACTATGATATGAATTTATAACTATCTTACATCATAGATCATATTACTTGATCATTAATAGATTCTATAAACGAGTTGATTCTTTTTTTTTTACTTCAGTATCTTATAGGCCTAGGCATAAAGTCCAACTTGTCCGATAGGCTATTTAAAAAAAAAAAGAACACAAGTTTTTTTTATTTTAAATTCTCGCGCTTTCAAACTAGCCGTATGAAGGGTTTTGACTTTTAAAATGTTGCAGAATGCAAGTACAGAGTATCGTACCTAGTCATACAAAAATTATTCATTATACTGTTACTGATTCACTAAAAATATTGAGACAGAGAGAGACAGAGAGAGAGAGAGAAGAAAACGAAATGAGAAACGTTTTGCATATAGGGAGGAGGGCTTGTGAAATCAATGTGGCCTAAAATTCGCATTCGCATTTGTGAAATTTTGCTTCCTAATAGATTTCAATTTACCCGGAGAGGAATAGGCTAGTTTTTGTCGTGTCCGTCCGTCTGTCTGTCTGTTTGTCTGCAAAAACTTTTAAAACCTTGCCAATAACTTTTGGTTTAGTGGAGCTATGACTTTCATGTTTCACATGTGTACATTCCGTTTTGACAAGATCTTTCTTTGGGTACCACCAAATATGGCCTTTTGGCCTTGTCCTTGAAGTTTGACCCACTCTTACACAAAATTCCAAACTTTTACTTTAGTCATAACTTTTGAACGGTAGATACATGCTGCAAATATTTATTTTTGTGGCAAGGGCTTTTATTGTAAACTAACAACGTTAACTTTGACCTTTTGACCTGTGGAATTTCCGTACTTATGAAAGAACTTTAACCTTGGACATAACTTTTGAACGGTAAGGGTGAGGGCTTTCATACTTCACATATGTACTAGTAATCATTGTGAGAAGAGCCTTTATTAGATATACTAAGAACTTTGACCCTTTGACCTTGGAGTTTGACTTACTTTTAAAAACTTTAATCGTGGCCATAATTTTTGAACAGTTAAGGCTAAGGTTTTCATACTTCACATATCAAAAACTTATCCTTGGGCATAACTTTTGAACAGGTGGTGCAAGGGTTTTCATATTTCACCATCGTATTTTTGTGAAAAAAATCGAAAAGTTTAATCTTCGCTTTTAGTCATACGAGGGCATCGTATTTGAAAGGGCAGCCCCCCCCCCCTCTCTTGTAGGAAGCAATCTCATCAATCGTGTTTATTGAGGGGGCACAAGCATAGCAGTACATAATTATGTTATCTATGGTACTCTATATATTGGCAAAATTATTGGGGGGGGGGGGGTCCATACGGCCATGAAAGGGGGGAGGGAGAAAAAATATCTACTGTAAAAAAAAAATGTCCAAAAAATCCTACATGTATAGTTCTGTGTTTCACGCGAGGAAGAAGCGAAATCGGCTAAATTTTATTCATACATTTACACGTAGCAACAGGGGGGCCAGGGGGGTCTGCCCCCCCCCTCCACTTTTTTTCCCAACATTACTTTAACTGTTGGAAATGTTCATTGAAAGGCTGGTTGGCTCCCCTACCTTATTCTACAGGAAATGAGATCAGGGAAAATGTAGTATAGAAAGCAAAAAAAAAAAAATTGGTACTGAAAGAAGTTGGCATTGGAAAAAGTTGGCTTTTAACCCCCCCCCCCCCCCCACCCCCCCCCCCCCCCCCCCCCCCCCACACACACACACACGCGAAATAGGAATTTCGAGTCTGGGCAATTTTCCTTTTTTGTATTTTTTGCTTGTCAACTTTTTACGGTAAGTCAAAAAAAAAATTCTCTGCCTGCCCCCCCCCTCCTTCCAAAAACGACGCTACGTGGCTGCATTGCCCTAGTTTGACTATATCAAAGAGTTGGGAAGGGACAGTTAGCCTTAAAATCATGAATATCTTCAAAGTTAAGAAATAATGTTTTTTCTTTCATTTGGTTTCAAAATTGTGCCATATTCAGTCTGAAGAATCCGGACTTGTTAATTCAGGACCAGATTCGACTTTACAATTATCTAGCACAGTCTGTTTCCTGTGTGAATTTTAGGCAATGTGTGGATGCACAGCGGCTACAAAAATGCTTCTTGGTGGGTATTAACGACAACAGATTAATTAAACGGACTATCATCCGAATCTGGAATAAAATTTTACCATGACAATGATGACTTTTAATTTAAAATTTAAGGATATCTGAGAGAGAATTGATTTTACCTCTTTACACCGCGCAACTTTGACCTTGTGCAAAATGTATTGCAATGCTACCTTTTTAGTGAAGAGTGATAATTTTTACGATATATTTGATGATATCTAATGGTTTATAGTGTACCTTATATCTTATTATACCTTACTGTATACCTGTATATATTTCCTTTAGCACTTCATTCAAACAGCACAGATTGATTATCAAGAAAAAATGAAAGTTCAGTTTATTTGACAGATATTTTCAAAAAGTCAAGCAAATTAAACATTGTTTGAGGTATCAAGTCAGTGTTTACAGTTATGTGGTCTTTTTCAAATTTCATACTGCATGCATAAGATTCTCTCTATCCACCAGGAGAGTGTTAGTGGATAATGACTTGTAGGGATCACTTTTTTTTTTGGCGCTAAATATTTGTAAATGGCGCACAAAAAAATTAGAAAGGGGTCAGTCTGGTGCATGTCTTACAGATATGGCGCTATAAGATGCAAAACTGTGGGTCAAAACTCTTATCTTGGTGCATTTTAAGACCGTTTTCCAACTGACAGATTGTATTCATGACGTATCTGAGCATATTGTTACTTCGTTCAATCAGACTCTTTGTAGTTGCGTATGTTCTTTACACCAGCAGAGTGTCTAGTGATCAAGACTAAAATCGGAATTGTACATGAATAGTTTCTTCGTTTAGATTACACTACTAGAAATTTTTTACCGAATACTGAGTCAATTATATTTATTAAAATTATATGTAATGATTTAAATAATAAACATATGAAAGTAATACTCCAGTATGTAATATGTGAATATTTTTTAAAACTTTGATTATTTATTTCGAAACAAAACAAGTACAAGTTACTCATTGTGTATCCAGACACTTGAAAAAATGCCTCCAAAGCGAAAATTGGTAGTGGGCCAACTTACCCAAAACAACGAAAGCTTTCGTTTGTTTTACAAATAAAATTACGGAAACTTTTTCATTCCCATACTCGGCAGAGGTCTCTGATTAAGAAGAAATGAGTCCAAGACGTTGATTTTCCTGATATCAACGGCAACGATGTTTGTCATTTCCATCCAAGTGGCTAACTTTGCACATTTATTTAAAAATTTGATTAGACGGGACTAAATTGTTTTGCAAACAAATAAAAATTTTCTCATTTCATTTTTTTAAAGATTTTGCTCCAGTTCTTTGCATACAAAACCAGTCCCTACCATTTGAACCAAATTTAATCTGCAACTGCCCCAGGTCTGTTGTAGAGAAATGTGCATGTAAGTTTGCATCCTTTATAGTTTAGCTCTTCAACAACTATCGAGAACTAAATCGATAAAATCAAAGGGGCGAGGAATTAACTTAGGTATTCTGTTTATCAATTACATTTATACTCTGTTGTATGAAGTCTAAAACAATTCTCCAATATGACATTTTTCAGTACTGAGATGAAATTAAAAAAAAAATTTCTTTTATATTTATATTATTCATTTTATTTAAAAAAAAATGAAATTGGTTGTTCAGAAATGCATTTAAAAACCTTAAAGATATCAAATTTACTTGAAATTTATATAAAATAGCAAGGAAAATCAATTTTTATTCCCCTGATTTAATGCGGCATGGGCCATTGGCCCATCAACATTAAAATCCAGAGTGATCCCTGACTTGTAAAACTTTTTTTCATAAAAAGATTGTATAACATCACAGTGGGATAAAATATAGTACATGTACCCACTCTTTGAGTATTTGTTTCCCATCTTGAAGCATGATATTCCTGATTAACCATATAGTTTACAAATGCAAAGCTAACCCCCTCTCTCCCAGAATAAAAGATGGGACAATAATTATACTTTAAAATGTGAAATATGAACATTATATTTATAGGGATTTGTCCAAGGCAAAGCTTCTCGACAACTGCGTGTAGCTTAAACAGGTTCAGGAGTCAGAAAAAATTACTATCCAAAGGCTTTGGAGCAAAATGGAGAATTGCGTGAGAGTTGATTTTACTTTGTTCTTTGTTTAGGCCTAAAAAAAAATTATGATGTTTCCTGTAACCCGACCGACCCATTCAATTTATCCCTGGGTGGATTTTTTTCTGACAAATGGCAAAACTGCTTTTGATCAATCAGCTGATTCCAATTATTTTAAAAAAAAAATTAGCTTGTAGCTTAACTTGAGACATAAAATATGTCAACCTAGTTTACATTTACCTTAAATATAAAGAGTAATCATTGTAGTATTGTAACAACAATTTCCCCACACAACTTTTTAAAGTTCGGTTTCTGCCGCTAGGCAGAAATATTTTAGATACCATGTTGGGTGTCCACTGTAAATATGACACCTGGTATATTCAGTCCGGGGATGTTTAACCATTCATAAAAAAAAAAAAGAAAAAAGAATTCCCGACCTACCGACCCTTAATTTTTTGGGAATGTTTCAGGAAATAAACATACATGTATTTTTTTTAAGCCTTATTGTTTGAAAAAAGAAAGGTCATTTAATTAACAAATATCTCTTAAAGGAATATTAAAATATTAAGTTAACCAATTTATATAATGTAAAAGGTAAAAAAAAAATTAATCCTGCATTTAGCGGCATTTAGGTGTCTTCAACATTAAATATGATGTATGTATTTAAAAAACTTTCTTTTCAAGAAATGGAAAGGCATTGGATAATAAGAAATATGGTCCTTTGACAGATCTTCCAGATTACTCATTCCTAGGTAACAAAAGAACTATATGCGGTATTAACCAACATTTGCCCCCCAAAATCAAACTTTGATGGAGTAATATTTAATTAAGTCCTTAAACAGGGGGTATATGCTGACTTCAAAGCACTGAATAATTTTAAGTAATAACTCATATGTACGTAATGACGTCACAATATGACGTAATTTCAGTTTTTTATGAATTTTGCAGAAAAATGTACATATTTCGTGATATTTTAAATAAAAGTCACCGAGCGCATGTGTGTTCAGGATAAATATTTTGATATAATGTGTAGAATGTAATATCAATGAAATAAATATTGTTCACTGAACACACATCCTCTATAAATTTTAAATCTTAAATTGTTGAAATTTTGTCCATTATGTTTTGAAAAAGGATATAAAATGTAGTTTGTGACGTCATAAAATACAGAAATTGTAAATACACTGCTCTGGAACTGTAATATTTTCTGTTAACTTATATTTCTCGTACAATTTATTGAATTCAGCACATTTAGAATTTTTCAAAATTTGAAGGGCAAACATATGCAGTATACCGCATATAGTTCTTTGAAAGACATTCCTTTAATATGCTTAATAAAAATTAATGCCATGCCATACAGAACAGAAAAATGCTTGAAATGTTCCACAAGAGTTTATATTTTTCCATATATTGTTTAAATATTGACTGAAATATCACTGAATCAGTTAAAATTTCTAGATAATTTATCCATCAATCTTCTAACCAATCAAATCAAATCTAATCAATCAATCATTTCTTTGTAGATGGAAGACCTGCACCACTGACAACGGCACAACAGAAGAGACTAGAAGACAGACAACAAATAGCTGTAAGTGTCACTGTCTTTGTCTTATTTAATTAGAGACTTTTAGTTTACCTCATTAAAGTCATGGAAGGTTCACATGTAGAAATTGTGTCAGCTTCACTGTTGGTGTTGACATTTTAAGGAAAATTGCATTTGAATAAATCAGTATTCCACTTAAACATACATGAATATATTCCTTACCCAGATAAGTATATAATGACTTTTCACAACATAACAGTATATATGACATTGACTTCATTATTGAGTTATTGCTTAATTTCTTTCTTTTTTTTTTTGACATAATATTAATTCTAAACTTTAATTTTTATAGCAATTGAAAAAATCTAAATATCAATTAAAAAAACACAACATTTACGATATATTTGCCAAATTTCAAGCAAATTGGTTGTCAACAATTTTAGATGTTTGCATTTTAGTACATCATTGTGATAATTATATTGATATTCCAAAACAAACTTTGAGGTTACACCGTAAAACTCAGCACACAAAGGGTTAAATTCATTTAAATAAATAAATAATTTAAATTGAATGTGAATCAAATTAATGATGATCTATAAATTTATCAATTTCTTTATCTGACCTAAATTCTGTGCAAGAATGCAGATTAAACTTTTGGAGTAGGTCCTTTTTTTATACAACTTGACCAAATTACCAGTAGCATACTTTTTGGGTCAGCTCACCTTTAAACTTACTTAAAAATTATCTCTTGAAAGAGGAAAATATAACAAACTGTGATCAGGTTCATAAACCCTGTGAACAATATGGAACAAGAAAAGGGTAAAGCACCAGAGGTGGGATCAGGTGCCTTGGTGGGAGATTTTGTCTATAACTTGTAGATGACATTTTTTGAGGTGGGCTTTGTAATCATTCAGTATCTCACTGAGTTCATAATTTTTAGATGCTTTGATTCTCAAACATAATCATTTTTTTTTATCAGGCAAGAGTACACGAATTGATGGGGGAACTTAATTTTGCCAAAGAGCGACACAGAACAAGAATGGCCAATAAACAGATAGAAAAACCATTTCCACTGAAGCCCAAATCCTGATAGGTTATATTTTACCTAGCTTATGTATATGTTTTGTTGTTTTGTAAATAAATACAGTTAACATATTTTCTTTTTTTTCCAAAGCACATTAATTATCACATCTAGAATTCTTTCCAAGTTGAAGAGAACTGAATTTATTCACGCCACTAGCCTCAGTGATTTTCATTCATTGTATCCAAAATATGCTTGATATATTTTTTTAGCTAACCTGAGCCAATTTTAATACCCTGTAATTAGGATGTCTAAAGTAGAGGAATAAATTCATTATAATGCATAAAATATCTAGAAAAGCAAGACTGAAAGTCTCCTGATACTGAAGCATTCCCATGGAGGGGGGGGGATAGGTCATAACCTCTTGAAGGAGAGATCAAAAGATAAGGAAAACCAGGTCAAATGTTACTCAGGTGAGCATTGTGAGCCTCTTGGCGAATTCTCTGTTAACCATTTGATTCATGATGTTGGATTTTAACTATTTTGAATACACTATGAATAGGGGTGTTTTTTGTTTTTGTTCCTTTTTTCTGTGAAGTCCTTACACTACATTGCAAAATTTGCAAATTTTAAAGCTTTTTCACATAGAATATAGTGTTTGAAATAGTTGTTTTTAAAGACAGCATTTTTTAAATAAAACAAGAGGCCCAGGGGCCACATCGCTCACCTGAGCAATTGTCTAGGAAAAAACACATATCAGATCAGAACTGAAAGTTTACTGAGGGTGGGGGAGGTGGGGGCTTGACCCCCTCCTTAACCCCCTTGATAAGGGGAACAAACTAGAATCTACACTACCTTAGGAAGTCCCTATAAATATCACTAAGCATGACTTTGAAGTACTTGAAAAGAAGATTTTAAAAGATTTCCCTATATATTCCTATGTAAAATAAACAAATATATTTGGAAGGCCTACCCCTGGGGTATAAATGTTTGAACAAATTAAATCTACACTATAAATGCATGATTCCACATGACAAAATCTTTCCTGGCCCAGTGGTTCTTGAGAAGATTTTTAAAGATTTTTCCTATATATTCCTATGTAAAACTTTGTGGACATTTGGCCCCACCCTACCCCCGGGGGTCATGATTTGAACAAATTTAAATCTACACTACCTGAGGATGATTCCACATGAGTTTCATCTTTCCTGGCCCAGTGGTTCTTGAGAAGAAGATATTTAAAGATGTTTCCTATATATTCCTATGTAAAACTTTGATCAGCCATTTTGGCCCCCACCCTACTCCCGGGGGTCATGATTTGTAAAAACTTGAATCTACACTACCTGAGGATAATTCCACAAGAGTTTCATCTTTCCTGGCCCAGTGGTTCTTGAGAAGAAGATTTTTTAACAAGAGGCCCACGGGCCTTATAGGTCACCTAAGGGTCATGTAACAACTTTTAACAATTGAATTTATTTCGTGTTTTAAACCAGAGGCCATGAAATTCATAATTTTTAAAGAGGCACTATTGCTTATCATAATTATACACTTACCATGCTTACTCTAGTTACTTAATACCCAGACGTAGATCAAAGTAACAAAGAGAAAAATGCACTTACACTTTATAACCATTTATGCACCTCACCCCAAAGGAACCACTAACCCTGGGGCCATTTATTTCAAAATTTTGGAAATTTTATCATAAATTTTATTTCATCATAAATGGTTGATTAATACCAAAAAGCAGATTTCAAAGCATTAATTTATTTTCAGACTATGTACCCCCCCCCCCCTATACCCCTGACCCAGGGGGCATGAAATTAACCGTTTTGCTAGATACACCTTTTTTCATCAAAAAAATATATATATACTTAGATCATTGGCATAATTTAATACCCAGGAGCAAAGGAAAAGATTTTCAAAGAATTAATGCCTTTTCACTATATAATCAATGGAGTCCCGCCCTAGCACCAGAACCCCTGACCCTGGGGCCATGAAATTCACAATTTTGGAAGAGGTACTCTTGCTCATCATAAAAATGTACTTAGTTAGTTTATTTAATACCCAGGAGCAGAGAAAAAGATTTTCAAAGAATTAATGCATTTTCAATATATAATCAATAGAGCCCCGCCCTAGCACCAGAACCCCTGACCCTGGGGCCATAAAATTCACAAATCTGAAAAAAGGCACTCTTGCTCATCATAACTATGTACTTAGATTGTTAATTTGATACCCAGGAGCAGAGAAGAAGATTTTCAAAGAAATAATGCATTTTCACTATTTATCAATAGAGCCCCTCCCTAGCACTAGAAATCCTGACCCTGGGGCCATGAATTTCACAATTTTGGTAGAGGACTCAATGCTGATTACAATCATACCAGTGGTTTCCAATAACAGTTTGTCTGCTTGATGTCCAGGAGTAAAGAAGAAGATTTTTAAAGATTGCACTATTTTTAAAGGTTTTGGCCCCACCCCCAAGGCCCCAGGGGGACAGGGACCATGAAATTCACAATTTTTGTTTCCCTTCACCCATAGATGCTGTATGCCAAAATTGGTTGAAATTGGTTCAGTGATTTCAGGGAAGAAGCTGAAAATGTTCAAATGTTAACACACGACACACGACGCACGACGATGGACGAAAACGGATAGCAATAGGTCACCTGAGTTTACTCAGGTGACCTAAAAATGCCATTAATTTTTCTCTAATTCATAATTATCTCCCCTTGGCCCTTCATTTGAACAAACTTGAATCCCCTTCACCTAAGCATACTTTGTGGCAAGTTTGGTTGAAATTGGCCCAGTGGTTCTTGAGAAGAAGATAAAAATGAAAATGTAAAAAGTTTATGACAACGACAACAACGACAGACAACGGACAAATTTTGATCAGAAAAGCTCACTTGAGCCTTTGGCTCAGGTGAGCTAACAAGAGATGTTTGTTAAACACTTATGCCCCCCTCCCCCAAAAATTGGAATTTTTTGAAGTCCAAGAGGTGTAACTCTGTGCAAATTAGTTCGATCGTACCCAAAACAGAACTTGATTTATATATTTTTATGATAAATCTGCATACCAAATTTCATTTAAATATGTGCAACCTCTACGAAGAAAATGAAATTGCAGATTATTGGAATTTTTCTATTCCAAGGGCATAACTCTGTCCAAAATGGTCTGATCATACCCAATTCAGACTTGACCTAGATATTCTTATGATAAATCTGTATACCAAACTTCATTTACACATTTGCAACCTCTGCGAAGAAAACGAACGGAAACTGTAAATTATTGGAATTTTTCTACGTCCAAGGGGCATAACTCTGTCCAAAATGGTCCAATTGTACCCAAAACAGAACTTGACCTACCCTGTAGATATTCTAATGATAAATCTGTATACCAGATTTCATTTCAATGTACAATCTGCGAAGAAAATGAACAGAAACTGATGGCATAGGGGGCATAATCGCATTTTAAACAAACTTCTTTACGTTCCTGCATTAACCACCCCCACCCCACCCCCAAAATAACTTGAACAACTTGTTAATAAAAAGTCTTCTTTAGTAGATGATTGATGAATTTTCTACATGCATCAACTTGGGAGTCACTGTGTATATTAATTAGTTTTGTAATCCAGAGAAAACACTCTCCAAAATATAAATCAAAGTCTATATCATGAATTTAAGGTTTATAATTTTATTTTTTTTACATTTATTGTTCATCCATTCAACAGATATGCATGATTTTTTTTCACAGTAAATAAATAAAAGTATTGCCACAAATCCTTTCTTAGTTTTGAGAGAATATACATCTGTTATTACTTATTTGTATACTGTAAACCAACATCTTTTATTCTTTTTACCTGAGTTTGAAATCCATCTGCAACGACTTATTTCCTTGACTAAACAACATTTTGCATATGAAAAAATTGTTTGCCAGGAGGAAAATTTGCAATCGAAAAGGGTTGTGAGACTTGCAGATATTTCTTGCTCACTAATAAAAAGAGGTTTACTGTATCATTTGTTTTAGACCTGCCTATTTGTGGAGACAAATACTTAGTCATATAGGAACTTACATTAAAAGGATATTTTGTGAAATTTATAATATGCTGTACATACATATTGTCATCGAATACTTGTATTTCTCACACTTGATATATTCTTCCTTTAAGAAAGCTGTTGTAATTAGCAAGTCCAAATGAATTATGTATTTGTATTAAATATGCATAAATGATCTAAACAAATGCCCAAAGGTTGAGTCCTTATGTTGATGTACAATATCCAGATGATCTATCCCATGATTCCTTTATCAGATCTATCCCACAATCCTTCATCAAGACAGTTTAAGTTCTGCGAACTTGGTGGCGATGTTGATGGCTTCCCTGAGGGCCCCTGTATTGGTCCCTGTGGCCTGAGCTGAGGCCTCTTTACCCCCTCCTTTACCCTTGATAAGGGGAACAACTTCATTTACCCAGCCATTAGCAGTCAAACCCGCAGCTATACTTGACTGAAAGTAAAACAGTAACTTTATTATAAATACATGTATATATGTGCCAAAATGCCAACATTGATGCCAGGTACATTAACAGAAGAGGATATACAGATGAAGGCCTATGGAGTACTATGCATAACTATTTAGCTAGTAAAGATGGATGCATTTCCTAGCTCTGTGAAAATCTATATATTTGCTCCTTTTCCATTAATTTTTTTTACATCCAGATCATCAAACAATAAATGGACATATAACTCATTGTTCGCTACCTTTGGGGTACAGCTCATGCAGACAATTTTCCCAGCGTTCTGATCCACCGTGAAGAAGAGAGCAGCAGTTTCTGGACTCAGTGCTTTGTATTGCTTCATTGCAGCATCCAGGGCCTGGAAAAAAATTACGAACAAAATTTTTAATACATCCTGGCTGCTATTTATTAAGACATTCCAGTTACTTGCTGAACTTTTTGTACAGCATACCTTGGCATTGGCATCAGCTTTGAATTCATGGACAACAAATTTCTGGTTAGGGTTGCTCTCAATCATCTTCTTTGCCTCCTCTACCACCTACATATATAAACAAAAACATTATATTGTGGAATTATCAAAATATGGGGGACCACTTTAGGTGGATTGCTTTTAAAATTTACAAGTTCATATACTGTACTATCACTTAATTTTCCGACACTTTATTTTCGCGAGATAGTCCTGACCCAGTGATTAGCGAGAACAAATTTTTCACGAATTGTGGTTATATATTTCTATATAATCTTAAGGAATACTATTATACGCGATGAATAAAATTTAATAGCACACTACCGCATAATTACTTCGAAAATAAAAGTTCCTCGTGAATAAAATGTGATTTACAGTATTCACTTGTATCTACGAAGGGAATTCAATATGACTTTGAACCCCAATATATTAATTCATGGAGGATGATGGGTACCCATGAATTCCATGAATGATGAGCCAACTAAAAACCTAATGATTCTACAGGAATCTTACTTCTCCCAGAAGTTTATGAAGTTTACCCTGTTACTTAGATTTGTGGAGCTGACAGATTTATGTGAGATATAAAGAGAGGCCGTCTCCTTACTGACCTCGTTCATTATGGCAGCCTTCCTGTTTTTATCCAGATCGTCCATCTTCTGTTTGAGTTTTTTCACCTGAGATCGCAGCTCATCTTTTTTCCAATAAGATATCACAGACTGGGAAACTTCCTGCAATAAAATAAAAAATTATAACTTATACCTTGGATAAGGCATTTACCATAAAGGAATTTCTCTCTGTAGCTACTTTCTTTCCTGATTCAGTCGTGTGAACACTTTTTATAGATACCCTTGTTATGAACTATCTTAGCTTTCAGTGTTGTATAAATGATACGCTCAATCATAACATCAAACATTTTTCATGTCACATTAGGCCCTTCCAAAAACTTGCTTACTATCTTTCAGAATACATATTACTTACATCATCAAATGCCACAATTTGTCGTGTGAGCTCTTTCTCTGAGACAGATTTAGATTTCAGCCCCTCCTCTACCTCAGTTTGTAGCTGTGACAGTGACTTCTCTAACAGAGCAGCCTTATGTAATGCCTGTAAATATACACACACAAACATCACAGTACTAGGAAATCTACTAGTTATCACAGAGTAAAGAGATGTCATGGCCATTATTCTCTAATAAATCACAAACTTCATCAACAAATTATCAAAAAATTGATAAATCAGTTTTCTCTTAGTTTGAATGTGTTCACTAGAAAAAGCATAGAGGTATCTTTTGATTGTGATGCAAATTGGTGGGAGGAAATTACTTTGAATTCAGATTATACAAGGGGCATTTCAAAAGTTCTGGCAACTGATTAATAAAAAATTAACCGTTTTACGAAAATTATTGAGTTTGATATCATGGAAAGATCAGAAAAGTATACACATATTGTGACGTCACTCTATAATTTTTATGACGTAATAACTCCGAAAATGACGTCAGAATATAGAATGTTTAGCATACTGAAAGATCGCGTTTTTTTATTCCATATGAGACGATCGTAAAAGTGCTGCCAAAGGCTTATTTGAAAAAAATATTTCAAAGAAAATTTTGATTTGGAAAGAGGTAGATTAGGACTATGATACTGTTTATAAGCAGTTCCATTAATTATTGTATGGTTTGTTTACGAGCACGGTTTATGTCCTGTTATGCTGACATTCATTTAAGATTTTTATTTACATGATACGGCTGGATTTTCGGTCTTTTATATAGCTCTCCATTGTTTGAAATAAAACATGTCCTGTATTATACTGAAGTATATTAATGCAGTTTTCATCAAGTATATTTTGAGTAACAGGACTCTTACCGTTTACGAATAAAATATACTAAATCTTGTCCCTGACTTGATTCTGTGCGTATTTTTTCACATTAATTCAACTTCGGCGCCCCAAAACTCACCACTGCTTTTGACTTTTGAATCCAAAAAATGAATATATGTTACACAGACATGAAAAATCTAATTTTCCATGCATTAAAATTTGCGAATATGTAGAGGTATGGTGGGGTTATAACTGCACTGCCGCCATTTTGGATTTTATGAGAAAATATGGGGCACACTAAATATAACTTCTCTTGAGCCTTCATCGATACCACAAATCTGGTTGAAACATCTGTCGAATTTATGCCATCAAATTTTGCAACACGATCGCCTATTTTTTTTATTGATTGTCAACTTTGTCTTTTTCTCACAGTTACGTCTCTTTTAAGTAACAGTTTGAGCGAGATTCGATAAAAACATGTTAAGTTTGACACTCGCTAAAACCATTTCAGAACAAGAAGATCTCCGAAATAGAACACCATATGATAGATTGTAGTCAATGTAAACATTCCACCAACTTGCATTTGCGTCCGATAGCTTGCGTCCGAGTAATGAGCAAAGTTGTCTTGAAATTTTTAATTTGATTAAATTGTGTCTTTTGTTACATCATTTTTATGGTCAGTATGGTAAACATTCTATATTCTGACGTCATTTTCGGAGTTATTATGTCAAAAAAATTATAATGTGACATCACAATATGTATTAAGGGGGCCAACTGGGGTTTTATTGTGTGAAAACTACAATAGCAAAACTCTTCATTTTTAAACCATTTATAACTTACATTAACTTCAGCGTACATGCCAAATTTGGGGAAAATCTACCTTCCAGGTATTCTTAAGGGACCATCTCAAAATACAGGTACATTTACTATAGGATTATATAGGAAAATGCCAATTCTTAGCACTTTAAAGCATATTATACAAATACTACAATAGACTTTTTGTTCAAACTATAATATATGATGAGTAATACTACATTGTACATTATATGTTAGAAACACAAAATTCTACCGTCTTGTTACCAGAGGGGGCATCTCAAAATGCAAAAAATTAACAAATTTTCCTGTTTTTATATAGAACTACAAAATATGACAGGCACAAAAGATTTTATATGTAAACATATTAAAAATAATGGAGATATTCTTAAATTTCTACGTTTTAAATTTCAAAGGTGTATGTTTATTACTTTTTCTTTAATAACATTTTTATTACCCATTTCTTAATAGCTTCAGTTTATCATAACGTCAAAAACATACTATAACGACGTCAACCTACCTATCAATTGCAAAATCGGTTAAAAAATCAGATATGTAAAATTATAATTACATTTTTAAATCTGATAAGTTTGTCTAATTTTATTAATTAAGTGAAAAATGATGCTTTAAAACAGTAAGCGCGCTAGCCCTTCATGAAAAATATGCCTACATGCAAGTCTGTGTGATTCTCACACCAATGAATGGTTCTTAAGTTTGTTTAATTTTATTAATTAAGTGAAAAATGATGCTTTAAAACAGTAAGTGCGCTAGCGCTTCATGAAAAATATGCCTACATGCAAGTCTGTGTGATTCTCACACCAATAATTCACACTAAACTTAAAAACATTCCTTATATTTACATTTTACATGTTTGGAAGCAACTAAAATATACAGTAAAACTCTGGTTAGAGTGAAGTCCTGGGGACCTGTGAATTTAATTCGCTACATCCGTAATTCGTTATATCCGTATAACGAATTCGTAAAACCATATATAGCGAAATCGCAATATGCATGTTTTTTTCCTTCAAGTATTACTACCAAATATGTTAGGGAAGCAAATATCATTAAACATACCTTCGATAACTAAGGTTTTATTATAAACTGAATTTTATATACAAGTACTAAAAGAAAATAAAGTCAGTTCAATTCATCAAATTTTGAGATCTTTGAAAATTCGTTATAAAAGACATAAATTTCATTATATTTAACCTCAACGGAACTCAAAATCAGTTCGCTATATCCGTAAATTCGTTATATCAGAGTTCGTTATAACCGTAAAATTTTACAAAGATTTGTAAGAATTTTGCCGGAGACGAAGGAAAACTTCGCTGTATCCGTGAATTCGCTATATCCGTGTTCGTACTAAACGAGTTTTACTGTACTTATTATTTGAATTTCTCGCTGCCCTATATCGTTGCATTTTTACTAACGTTGCTGCAGTCTCATTGTGACGTCACGTTAACGCACGTTTCTCTGTGTATATTTCTACGTGTGAGTATACACGAAAATGGTATTCAAATCAATTTCACTGTTTGCTTAGTAGAAAAACACAGCTAATGTAAATATTTTACTATGATGCGCGAAATATTGTGCAAAGAAAACCAAAGTCGGCCCCCTTAATTTTTCTGATCTTTCCAAAAATATCAAACTCAATAATTTCCGTAAAACGGTTAATCTTTTATTAAACAGTTGCCAGAACTTTTGAAGTACCCTCATATCATACAATATCTATTGCTTGAGGTACAACTGAACAAGGAGTTGCAATATACACAAACCATCAGTACTTGTCAGTACTTCATACCTTGACAGCTCAGGATGTGTAATATAGGACAGAGTAAGTTACCTTGACGGCCTCAGGTCCAGTAAGAGCGATAATCCTCCTGATTCCCTTAGCAATGGCCTCCTCTGACACGATCACCATCCTCCCTATATGTCCAGCTCTCTTCAAATGTCTAAGAATGAAATATAATACAAGGGCTCTTCAAAACATTCCACTCTAATGAGCTCAAATTTAAACAGGAAAGTTAAGTAGATTGACAAGTTAATAGGACTGATGATCGCTTTCTCTTTTTAGACAATTTAAAAGTTAGAGTTATAGATACGTAATATAACCAGTGAACTAGACATACTAAAGTTCGAGTAACAGATACGTAATAAATAACCAGTGAACAAGACTTACGTTCCCCCGCAGAATTCCACGGAGGTGAGTGAGGCTCCGGGACCCATGGGGTCGTCCACCAGATTCTGAATGTCTACCCCCACAGACACAACACGGACAGGGTCTGGATACACCTGAGGAGGAGATAAGACTTGTATTCTGCTGACAGTCACTCAGAGCTCAGTTCTTACATTAGTCTAATTAGCACTTAACACTACTCCTCTAGTTTTCTTTCCATGAAAATGTTTGCAGAATTCATCTAGATCTAGGTTTTGTAGGATTCATGGTCAGATTTGTTGTAAATATTGAAAGCATGTCTTCTGATTAAAATGTAATTGATACAATAACAAGAGACAAACCTCATCAAACACAGCTCTCAGTCCCTGTATCGCCTTGGCAACAGCCAGACTGACATTCATGTCAAACACCTCTCCGTTTTTGTCGGCCATTTTGTTGACAATCTCCTCCACCTGTTTGACTTCTGAGACTTTCATTGCACCCTGAAAAAAAAGATCTTGTGACATTACCCTCACCCTGAAAATGATCTCATAATGGTATCCTCCACACCAAAAGATCAATTTAACCTCAACTTGATTGCAAAAGTCACTCTCGAACAAATTACAAATGTTACCCTCAGACTTAAACATTTCTCAACAATGAAACTTTTCCCAGATTTGAATAAAAAGCTATCAGCTCTAATGGAAGCAGAAAGTTTGTTTGTGTAATTCATAATCAATTTGCTGATTCCTTGAGTACCAATACTGACCTTGGCAGAGAAGTCGAACCTGAGCCTGTCAGGAGCCACCAGCGAGCCCCTCTGGTCCGCCTCCTTGAGTATTTCTCGGAGTCCAAAGTTCAGCATGTGTGTTCCTGTGTGATTCTTCATTACAGAACACCTCCTCTCCTGCTCAAATATAAAATACTTGTCAATGTTTCCAGGAATAATTCTCTGGGATTGGAGCGCAAGCTCCAGGAAAATTAATAAAAGCTGTTCTGTAACTCATTCACTGTCATGTGCAATATCTCACATTATGAATACTGTATAAGCAGAATTTTTGCAAGATGCATTTTTTGCTTTATAAGCATGGGTTCTGAGATCGCTAAAATTGAATATCGTTCACAGTTAATTCCATATCAGTTTGTATAACTATCTCTTTTGACATTATATAAATGCCAAAATTAATTGTAGAAGTAATTGCTAAAACTATTTCTCGCTAAAAATATATATACCATTTTTTTCTTATGTAATGGGAAAGGAGAAAATGCAGCAGATCAGACCGTGATTCGAACCCGGGCCCCCTGAAACTCCGGTCAGATGCTCTACCAACTGAGCTATCTTGCCACCGGCAATCGAACCCGGCTGACCACCACACTTATAAATCCCTAAATTGCCATCTTGCTAAAATTTTCAATTAAACAGTTTTGAGATTTACAATACCTCACCTTATCAAGATTGATCTTTGCAATATCTTATTCATACAGTTTATAAGATGCAATAAGTATCTAACCTCATCAATATTGAGCTGTACAGTATCTCACCTCGTCTATGTTGAGTTGTACTGTGTCCCCCACTCTGAGCGTCCCCTCGACTACACCTGTGTGTAAGATGTAACCTGCCCTGACCTGGACATTCCTCACACTAAACTCCACATCCTGAAGTAAAATCAACACTTATAAAACTCAAATCAACACTTTCAAAGACACTGGGTATAACTCATATTATGATTTACAGATTTCCTTTTCAAAATTAATACAAATAAAAAATAACTCCATAAACTCCATCTCAAATACTAAAATGACACAATTAGAGTAAAGACTATTGAAAATAATAAAACGATTAAGCACAATTTAGATATGATAGACTAGAGATAAATATGATTTAGTTTCTACATGTTCTGACCACTCTTAGAATTAAGTAGTTTTAGAACAGCCCTATGATTTCTTATATATTCCCTTACTGGATCATTCTCTTTGACCATGAATCCCGTGTCGTAGATCTGACCCCCCTGCTCAGCGTAGAAGCTGGTCCTGTCCAGTAACACCCCACACTCCTGTCCTGAGGACACCTCCTCTACAAACTCCTTGTTCTTACGCAGGGCCAGCACTTTACCGGTAGCTGGTTCAAATGCTGAAAAGAAACATCAAGCCATTTCATTCTCATAGGAAGCACAACTTTAAGAAAGGTTATGACAAGGTATGAATAAGAAGAGAATGTGAAGAGATTCAGGAAAACATGTCAAAGAAACTGGTAATAGCATGATTAACATGGTCCTGGTTTGATTCTCTTTACTCAAGGATACTTTGTGTGCCAAGTTTGGTTAAAAATGACACATACAGTCAGTAGACAATGCTGATAAGGTGAAAATGTTATATATCTATGCTCAGACCAAATATCAGCTGGATTCGGTTGCATGAACGCTTGTTAAATTTAACTAGCCATGAACTTTGCGTTAACGCGAGATTAAAATTAACAGTGCGTTAAATCGGTTGCACGAAAGTTAATGCCAGTTAAACCTTAGTTAATTTTGTGATTTAACTAACAGATTTAACTTAGGTTACATAGGTACATTAAATATTTAATTAAACATTTAAATAAAAATTGTGGAATTGTTCTCATTTCAAAACTTGTTTGCTGTGAAGGACGAACTTATACAGAGATAATATAAATGTATGACAGGAGCAAAACACATTTGATCCTGATTTCAATTTAGGCACAGTTGCATAATTAGGGCTGTGTCAATATATTGATACGTATATGTACATGTAAGTTGAAAAATCGTTTATTCCATGAACCCCAGGCACAAAAAATAAAGAAGGGGGAGGGTGTTCCTCTCCCCCTTTTTAGAGAGTTATCTATTTATTTTTTTAATATTATTTTTAGTTTCAAATTCAATGCCTCTTGTTAGAATTAAATACAGAAAAAACTACATGTACAGGTATTCGTTGTAACTGTACTGTTTATATTGCGTGTAAATTGATATTTCAATGTTAAAGTCATGTTAGAAGAAACTGCTTTTAATAATATATTTAAGGAATCACTGTCTAGTTAGGAGGGTATGTCAGGGATATCAACAATAGTGGGAAACATGGGATAATTTGCATAACGGGCTTTGCCCGTTATGCTTAAATTATCCCATGTTTCCCACTATTGTTGATATCCCTGACATACCCTCCTAACTAGACAGTGATTCCTTATATTTCCATTTTTACTTGAAATAACAATCTTAAAATAAATCGGAATACCGTCTAATTTAGTAGATTTGAAATGCACGAGGCATTTCATGTTCTTTCCTATTGCCCCGCCCCGTGACGTCAAATTTTACTATAAAAAATAGTCCCATAAAACACGAACCAAATTTATTGATTATTTAGTTACTGTAGCAAAATATCAACATTTATAGAATAAACAACAAAAGAATTTAAAAATATGACCAAAGCAATCTTGTTAACTTTAATTATATATGTGACCTAGATCTAGGTTGTCGGAAGCATGAAAACGTGTATAGGCCTTTGGACACTTCTCCGCTGCCATATTGAATGCAATGTGCCAGTTGATGAAACGGGAGTTGGTCAGCATGGTCAGGAAACAGATTTGTGTGGATGTTAAAATAACAGAGGAAGTTGAGTTGCTTAATAAGTCGGATGGTAATGACCGAGGGACGATGTCTGTATCAGATGCTGAAGTGCAGATCGATCTATGTGGCAATGCCGATTTCTCCACATGGTTCAGATGGGCTATTTACCATGTTTACGGAAGTGGAGTTCTCGGTGTCGCGATTCCTCAGTGGTAGTGGACTTGGTGACTTGCTTTTGATCCGGAGATAATTCATTATTTATTTTGTTTGTAAAAATATATATCATATATAATTACTAAGTAAACAATTAAACAAAACATCTATTTTTTCTTCAATGTATTTATATGCCAGTCATATACCATACGTATACATGCAGGTTGAACTTTGACCTTTCAGTAGTATTTCAATATAGAGAAATTTACATGCCAAAGGAATCACGGAGAATAAACAAGATTTACGTTTGTAGTGTTTATCACAGGGAAAACAATTGGAAATGGAAATATTAAGCAATATCTGATAAAAGGATAACATATATCAAGTAAATTTTCCTTAGCAAATTCACATTTACAAATTGACGTCATTTTAATTATGATGTCAGTAATCTTTCACCATAGGTAAGGGAAGTGCACGCGTCGAACGATTTAACAGAGAGTTAACTATAAGACATCAATTAAATCTGAGTTGATTAATTAAACTTTAATTGACTTTCAAACAACAACAATTTAACTGACAGTTATGTAACTTATCGTTAAAAATTTAACAGCTAATTACGGCATTAACTTGAAGTTAATTTAACTATCGTTCATGCAACCGAATCCAGAAAAGTTAGTTTATCAAACTTTTCTTCTTCGTCTTCAAACATGTAACTATAATTGCCAGTCTTCTCACTTAGAATTTGTATGTTATTGAATGTCTCTCTGCCTGACACGTGTAATTGTCATTCTTCATGGCCTGATATACAGTATGTACCGTTACATAACATGTGTGGCACACTTACTGTATTTGCCGCTCTCTGTGGCCTGGTATCGGTACTTGGGGGCGTCGTCGGTGGTGGGAATCCCCCTGTTCTGGAGGTCACTGATCGCGTGGACGTCCAGACCAATCAGATCAGCTACTGTTCCTCCCGACCCCTGGGACAATTTCTGTCAGAAAACAGTTCTGTCTGATATCATCTCGTGAACATAATACATTGAAATTAAAACCTGTTCATGAAAACAATGAGTGCAACATAGAAATCTCATAGCATAATTAAAGTTACAAGGAATTGAAAATCAATCTGCTGTAGGCATCAATATGAATGTATAAACATGCTTTACTGAACCAAAAAAGAGAGATGCTTAAAGGGACTAAGTAACAAAAGTGTCCTATTTTGGTTCATTTTAAATATAATGCATTACATCCCGAGTCTTTATTATATGTATTTGAACTATAAGGAATAACAATCACTTCACTGTGTTAATTCATTATAAGTTTGCTATAAGAACCTTTCACTGTGTTTCAACATTATAACCAAGATAAGACTGAGGTATGACCAATGTTTAATAAAAATTGTGAACATGGTGGATAAAAGCGATTATTTTTCTCTGTGGTTCTCGTCTAATTAAGACTTTACCTGAGCCTCTGTTTTGGCGGCTTCTTGCGCCGGCATGTCAACCTGGAAACCCTTCTCTCTGGATGTATTCTAACAAAGAGTTTACCTGAGCCTCTGTTTTGGCGGCTTCGTAGGCCGGCATGTCGACCTGGAGACCCTTCTCTTCCGCCATAAGCTCTGTCAGATCCACGGGGAATCCATACGTGTCGTATAACCTCCACGCAATGTCACCTATAATAATCAAGAACAAGGTCAGAACCAAATGCTTTCCACTCCCATGTGGTGTAGTGAAACAATTAGATCTTTACCAACAAAACTGAAAATTATCTTTATAGTTATAATACATGTATTACTGTTGGGTTGGCCATTTTGTTTATCACAATTTCAAAGTCATTATACAGATTTCTGCAAAATTTAAAACTTTTAAATGCATTTCATTTTAATTATAACTCAATACTTGAAATGAACAAGAGACCTGGTAGAGAAGTTGTGTCCCCTAATTTGCCAATCGTCCTCTCCAGTAACCTTCGACCTCTGTTTAATGTCTTCAGAAACTGGGCTTCCTCCTCGTTAATGATGTCCTTAATCTGAATATTCCAGGTGAAATTTACAGCAGACATAAATGGATACATAATAGCAATACAAAAAATTCATACCATTTTATATTAATGGGTCTCACTAAAAGTTTCTTCACCAGATAAAAACATGAGAAAACTTGCTTGCAAATAAGTGAATAAGCAACCATTGCTTGGCAAAAGGTAATATTCTTTTGAAAAGAACAATTATAGGAATTTTAATTTTCTACAACAAATTGTGCCTAAATCCAATGTTCCTTTATGTTCAATGAAAGCAAATTTCTTCTGAATAAAGATTTATAATCATTGTACAAGAAATTTTTAATTACCATATCTGGATCTTTTTTCAGTTCCGGAAAAGCATCTCCCTGATAAAAACAAACAATAAAATCTTTACTTTCAGTGTCAAAGAATGTTGGTCTCCATAAGGTATGTGTCCTTATATAGAAAGTGTTTACTTTCAATAATCATTTTTGTTTGTCCTTTTTCTTGTACTAATTCATATCAGTGATGTACTTACTAGAGATTCCACAACCACATCCACTAACGAGGCAAACATCCCAGGTTTGGCATTCAGTTTTTCTGAGCCGTATCTCACAGCACGCCTCAGAATTCTCCTCAATACATAACTGTAAATAAAAATGCAATAAAAACATATAGTAGGTCTCACAAAATTTCCATTAGATAGTCAAATCTTAGGTTCATTATATATATAATTATGAAATATTTTCTAAATCCTATGAATCCATTTATGAAAATGCAATTCTAAAAGCACCATTTACACAAGATAAAGATCGAAACATCTGGTAAAAGATAAATCCCGATATTTTTAGCTCTAGAACAGAAAAGAATAAAATGTTAAGCAAATAGAAAATGGGGGATTTCTTTTAAGGATATCCTCATGAAGCCCTTACCCTCTTCCCATGTTATCAGAAAAGAAAATGAGGGTGGGTTCATTTACAGGATATCAAGTATATATCCTTACCCTCGCCCCATGTTATCCGGTCGTCCCCCATCGGCCAGAGCTATGGTCAGTGTCCGAGCATGATCAGCTAACACTCTGTAAGCCATGTCCACTCCGTCCACATCAGATTTTCCAACACGCCCTTGGTATGGTGGAGAATTTGTTGCCTGAAGGAAAATTTACAAAATAAATTACATCATGCATAAAAATTCCTCTGTCATTTTACATTTTATCCTCAGTGAAAATGGAAACTATGAAGAAGTTAAATGTTCTCACTTTTTGTATGAAGTCAAAGTATGGAGTAAATAGATCTGTGTCGTAGTTGGATGTTTTTCCCTGCATCACACACACGAGACGTTCCAGCCCCATTCCACAGTCGCAGTGTTTCCTTGGTAACTCATTCAGTTCTGTCTCCGATTCTCTGTAATTACAGGACATTTCTGTAGAACTAAGCTCAACAGGACAAATACCACCTCTACATTTATAAAAGGGCGAAATGTAAATAAATTGTTGACTTTCTTAAAAATAAATTTTCAATCACCTGTTAAACTGTATGAACACAAGATTCCAGATTTCGATGACCTCAGGGTCATCCATATTAACAAGTTCTTTGGCATCACGACCTCCGACCTTGTCATAGTGAATCTCTGTACATGGACCACAGGGTCCGGTCTCCCCCATCTCCCAGAAGTTGTCCTTCATCCCAAACGGTAACACGCGCTCCGGGGGGACCCTGTAACAAAAAAAAACACATATAAATATAATAAATACAACACACGTTCTGGGGGACCCTGAAACAAAGAACTTATAAATACAATAGGGGCATAGGGGGACCCTGAAACAAAGAACTCATAAATACAACACAGGGTCGGGGGACCCTGGAATAAAGAACTTGTTAATACACATGTTGTATTAGGTCATGTCCTTTTTATCTTCCGAAATTTCAATATAATTAGATTGCCTAAATAACAATACATTTTTATCTATTGTCTGATTTTCTTTCCAGTTCTATGTTTAGGAAATATATCTAGATTGTTTAGGAGATGGCACAATTATCATCTCAATGAGAAGAACATGCATAAAAAGAGAAATCTACAGATTTACAGACAAGTACAAACCTACAGTACTCAAGTTGAATAGAAGGAGTGGACTGAACTATAATTTACCCTAAGTTGAGCCAAATATTCTTGGTGTCTTCATCTGGCTGCAGTCCAAACTTTTCATTTCCACCAAAGTATGTGACATACAGGCGATCTTTAGGAAGGCCAACTCTCTCAGTCAAAAACTCCCAGGCCCATGTACAACATTCAGTCTAGTTACAATGGAAGAAATTTTTTGAAGAATAATTATTTATAAATGGGTAGAAAAAAGTTATTGCTGTCTTATTTCCTTTGGAGTACATATCATTCCAATTACATGAAACTTGTTCAATACTTTGAAAATCTCTCTGTTGGTTCCAATAAGAAATTCAAACTGATTCACAATATTTCAAATATGTGTTATTTGACTGTTTCACAACAAACTGCTAAAACTATATCTATTGTGATAAAAGTATGCCGAGTTTAAAAGTTATAGCATGTCGACAACTCAAATCAAAGGTACTTTTCTAAATAAACTGTTTCTTTTGCTCACACCTTGAAGTAATCTCCAAACGACCAATTTCCCAACATTTCAAAGAAGGTGTGATGATAGACGTCTTTTCCTACGTCGTCCAGATCGTTGTGTTTTCCCCCCGCTCTGATGCACTTCTGGGAGTTGGCAGCTCTCACATACTTAGCCATGTCACTATTGGGATCTACGATCTCCAAAAAGATCGGCTTGAACTAAGCAAAGAAAAATATACAGTGAGAGATTTTTTTGGAAAAGTTAAGATTTAAAAAATTCAAAAATACAGGTGACTCTCGATGGCTCGAACTCCAATCTCTCAAAGAGAACCTCCAGTCCCGTTTTTTCATCTTAATAACTAAACAAATTTACTCCTGATCTCTCAAACTACTATCTCTCAAATTCTCTATCTCTCAAACCAAAACCCAGGTCCTGTTACGCACATTTCATTGAATTTTACTCTCTATCTCTCGAACTTTTGATTGCGTGTGTATTCACGCCAATCAAGCGTAAAATCGATGCAGTCTGCTAGTAGCAAGGAGGTGTAAATTGGGTGTTTACATAGATGACACTACACCTGTGGGTCGTCCGTTTGTTAATATAATTATTAATTGGTTAATTGGTTATTACTGATAAATTATAAACAAATTCACTTATTTTGACTTGAAACCGAGACGATAATTTTTAGAAAATAATTTATAGACGTTCGTTTCAATAAATTCCCATAGAATTTGAACTTTTATTAGAGTCTACATAATCCCAGTATGAAATACTGCACAAGAAATTCCTTTCTCAAGGACTGTATACCGATTAAGAAAATCTGGTGAACGCTGGTGTAGGACCCGATCAAGCCGCGGAATAGCCAAACTGACAATTGCTATTCAGGTTTCATGTAATCAAGAAATTAAAGAACAAATAAAGATTAAAACCTTAGGAATTCATTTTCTTTATTCAAAACATCATTGTAAATTAACTGTAACATACGATTGAAAACGTTCCAAAGACTTTATATACATATACTTCCGGTATCTATAAAATTTGAACATCTATGATCGGAACTGAAATTTCCGGATTTTATTTACTTTCTATCTCTCAAACAACTTCAATCTCGCGAACTTTTCTTGCGGTCCCTTGAAGTTCAAGAGATCGAGAGTCACCTGTATTAGATATCTTTCATAATTAAATTTAACACTTAACTAAATATACTCTCAACAGTATCTTATATAGAGGAAATGAGGTCAAATGATAAATATAAGCAAGTGACAAAATGGAATGAAATACCTAAACATGACTGGAAATTTAAACACTGACCCTCTTCTTACAGCATTAGGAATTAATTTACATGAGAAATCAATTAATCTTACAATTCCTTTGCCATTATAATTTCGATAAAATTCAATGATGCAAATTAGAACTATTTAAAATTTTACCTAACATCGGACATTCCACATTTAACAGGTCGGAGAGAATACTCGAAATCGGGTATTATCCGTGAAATCGCGTATAATACCCGATATTAGGGTATCGTTGAATCCGCGAAATCGGGTATTCCGTGAAACTTTCTATAAAAACAAAAGAATAAAGCAACGGCGCATTATGCCAGTTACTGTTACTTGAACATCTGTATCTTGTGGATTTATTTTTATGAAACCTAATTCATACGGTTGACAAATTAGTTTAAAATCACACGACAAACACTGCTGGGGTAACAAAGAGGACACAATGGCGTTATTATTTTTCAATATAATTTCTAAAAACAACAACTACCTACACTTCGTTTGTCCTTATGTCCCATTGAAGTATTTCATATACTTAATTTTCTAATTTGTGCACTATTTACAAAATGTGAAACTTTAAAGAAATTAAACGACTAACGCCGTGTTATGTATTTTTACTGAAAAATGTATGGCGTACCTTTCACGTGAAATATAAATTATTCCTAACAGTTAGCGAGTACAGTAAAAGCGAGTCATAATTGTATATCTCTGCCATAATAGAATACCGTTATTATAAAGAAGAAATAAAATAAGATTAAATAAATACTCACGGAAAAACAGGTTGAAAATAGCTAATTGAAGGTGAGTATCTTTTTTTTATGTCAATTTAGCATGGAAATTTTTATTCAAAGACACCGTAAATATTTTGGTTGCATTTTAATCGATACATGATATGCTATTTTATATTTATTTAATGTATTTGTGTGAAAATTGAGAGCGAGAAGTCATATGAACAGGATGATTTTCTTCTTTTTTTGGGGGGGGGGGGGGGGTATAAATAAAAGTCAAATGTGTACATCTTTTCATGAGCTTATAATACATTGAATTTCTCAATATAGATCGAGGTACAGTCATATTGAAATATGAATTACATAGTCAAGTTTTCACATTTCTTATAGTTTTTACCTTTATGAACATGTTAATGAACAAACTGAAATAATTGTGTGTTCAACTGCCTTGAAAACTCTTTTCTTACTTTTTGGGAATATAATTCTTCATCGGACATTAAAATTTCATAAAAATTGTAGCCACTTCCTTTCTTTATTATACTTTTTGATAGACAGGGTAAATTTTACCTCTTTACCTTCTATATTTTTTTTTATATCGCTATCTTATACCTCATAATAATATGCTTATACAACGCACTATCTGACTGGTTCTAGACAATATGTCACAGTTTTCTTTTAGTTATTTTATCTATGATACTTATTACTCATGGCAATAACTTTTCCTAATACTCATCTATAATGAAAAAAAATTGTTAAAAAGATAAATATGAATTCTAGTTACTTGTACTCTCTTATTGTGTTAGAAAATGACAAGTTGCTTTTTGTTTACCTACATGATTTTTATTTGATGAATAAATCTTCCCTACAATTAAAAATATATAACTGAGTTTAACCGACCGTGACATTCAAAGAGAGGTCTTTTGGACACATGTAGAACACAGTCGAGGTTGTTTTGTCAGAGGTGGTCAAGAAACCTTTAGCCCCCCCCTTTGAAGTCGCCAAGAAATGGTAAAATATTAATGACTTAGCGAAATTAAACGATCAACAGTTATGTTCTCTCATAAGCTGTATTCCTGAAACTATCACTGTCTCTGCTAAAATGTTGAAGACATATTCTGCAAATATGTATGAATGATAAAAAAAAGATTTTCCAAAAAAAGAGAAAGAGGGGTTTTTTAGCCGAAATTTTGGACATTTTTATTATTACATTATTTACACATTCATAAAAAAAATTGATTTTATGCACAAGATGAATGTGAAAGTTATTAATGACGCATAATTAGATACGATAGACAATCACTTGTTTATACATGGCATCATATCTTGTGTATGAAATGTGTTTCCGTGTAATTTGATTTATTTACAAATTGTTCATGTTTGTCATGTTGATGTGGAATTATTATAAATTTCCGAATTCTGATACTTTACAATTCTGTTGTGTTAGGAATGAACATTAGGAAGATGCATATACTTTCAATATTATGAAAAATATAAAGCAAATCGAACGCCTTTTCGTGTGCAGATCATGAAATGTACTGAGCTCCACGGGTATTTGTTGTCCTGAGCGCATTAATCTTGACGTACAAATGCTTACTTGGCTAGTGATACCTTTAGCAAACATGTGTATCTAGATGAAAGTTAACTCGGCAACATGCGCCATTCCATTGTTTAAGTTTTATTAGGTGATTACACCTCCTATACCCGATTTCGCGGATTCAACGATACCCTAATATCGAGTATTATACGCGATTTCATGGATAATACCCGATTTCGAGTATTCTCTCCGACCTGTTTAATTTTACAGTCCACAGACTTTGTTACCTGATTCATTCCGGCATTTGTAAACAGAAGAGTCGGGTCATCAAGGGGAACAACTGAGGAGGAATGTACATAGACGTGTTCCTTCTCCTTGAAGAAATCCACAAACAGATTTCTGATCTGTGAACCCGTCAACTTGCTCTCCATGACTGGTGTATATGCTACACCTATAGAGTACGAATAAACAGAAAATAACTCAGGGAAAACATAAAAAACAAAATTCTCACAGAGAACTCCTCAGGCTACGGGTGAATCAGGAAGTTTAAATGATGTATCTGTCATCAGATAATAAAAACACTTAAACACTATTCCATTGAAAGGTTAGATACCAAGCATTTCAATAATATGTTCGTATTTAAAAAACGATTAAAACATAAACAAATATTTAAATATTGCAAAAATCAGTACTGAGTACCAAGAGGTATGTAAGTGGTCAATGATATACATAAAATGATAAACATTACATCATTTTTTACCAAATAAATGACGCATTTAAAAATTTATAACTATGCCCTAAAACTCATGGATATATTTTGACAGTTAAAAAATATTTAGCACTTCTAACATTATCAGTTAATAATATTTAGTGTGGATGGCTGTAGAATTTTTACTTTGTGGATAGTACATTATTCAGTGTAGTTTTTTAACAACTTTTCTTACTTGGTATCTACATTAACATGATTAATGACTATGTTAACCATATGCTTGAGTACATAGTAAGTTTTATACCTGAAATCTGGCACTTCTGCACAGCTATGACTGTTCTGTTCAATGAAATATGTATGTAACTATGTTACACCTAATAAAGGAAGTTAACACCTATTTAAACTCAAAATGGGTTGGTGATGCAATACGGATGCATGTAGTTCGAATTTCCTTAAGTGAAAAACACGTTTCGTGCATCTATACATTCGTGAATGTCAATAAATGAATGTATCTGTTTGGTAACAATATAAAAGTTGACAAAACACCCCTAATTTTAGATACAATACCTCGATTTCGCTACACCTGTCAACAAGCCGACAACGTGATTTTGCCGAGTGTGACTAAAATGGGTAACACGAATCACCGGAATGCCCCGCAATCACCGAAATGCCCTTACAAATCACCGAAATGCCCTTACAAATCACCGAAATGCCCATACATATGTTTTTACATGATGTTTTTCATAAAAATTAATTCTAGTTTTTATCATTAAAGCATAACTGACGGTAAAATTAATTATTTTCAGGTTTTGAGCTCGCGTACTTCAAAGGGCGATAACTCGTATTTGATGATAATTTTCTAGGAAGCGAGATCTACGAAGCCCAATAGATATACATAAAATGATAATGATATTTCTCAGGAAAAAAATGATGACAAATGATTGTTACCCGTCACCGTTATTGTTACATGATTTTTAATTAATGATGTACTGTTAAAATATGGTTTGTATAGGTTCCTAGTCTTAATGTTTATAGTCAAGTGCACATGCTATTATAACAGATACTTATATCATACAAACACTGTTTTTTAAAACTAGCTGAAGTTTTGGGGAATTTTTATTTGTTTAAGTTTTTTTAATTAAATGTTTGTGTCCGTTGTCTTTTTTTTTCTTTCCTCCTTTTTATTTGACTTTTTGTGAACCAGGTTGGACCATTTCTACGACTGCCGACGCCTGACTGGGGAAATACATGTAGGTCTGGCGGTAAAATCTAAATACCCGTCATTATTTATAGAGTAAATTTATCTTTTATTAAATATATCTAATTTTAAGGACTATAAAGTTTATGTTTTACCAAACAAAATGAGAGAGAGAGAGAGAGAGAGAGAGAGAGAGAGAGAAGATACCGGTCGACCAACTCCTGTGATAATTTACGATCGATATGAAAGATTTTCAAAAGACAAATGCAATCACAAAAGGAAAAAAAAATTTTTTTTTACTCTGTACTTCGTTAAGCAATGAAAATATTTTCATTTTTTAAGATAAATATTAATTTTAATTTGTTACTTGCAATTGATTAGATACATTGTCAGTCAGGTCAATAACGGATCGTTTCTCTTGTATATTAGCGAACATCTTCGCTAGCCAAGGGTGACGATCCACGGTGTTTCTCTATTCACTATTGAATAGAGAAACACCGTGGATCGTCACCCTTGGCTAGCGAAGATGATTAGCGAATATTTCGGAAGTAGCAAGTGCTTGATTAATCATGTAATGTGTGTATTAAACCCATTCAACAACTTAAAAAAAAATTAAAGAAAATTGTCAACTTTTACTATTTCATTTTCAATTGATGTAGTAAACTGATCATTAGCAAAAGATACCCTTTCCTGTGTTTGTATAGAGCACGTGCGTAATTTCGGTCATTGATTGTCATGTACCTGATGATGTAACATGACATAAGAATACTATACACACCTGTCACTAGATCAATTATTTAATCACTGTGTATACACAGTAAACATAATTATTATTTCAGATATCCAATTGTTTCTAACCAATTGAACATTGAACACAATAAAATCAAATTAATTTTGTCTGTGTGTTCTTTTTTTTTTTTTTTTTTATCTTTTATAGTAAAATATGAAACTTCCAAAAAAGTTTGTTATCTTATATATATACAAAAAAGAAATAAATTCATAATTTTTATAGATTTTATTAATTTTTTTTCAATATTGCAGTTCTTTTCTGTGCTGAAATGAAAAAAAAGTATATAGATTTATTTTCCTCAGAAATAGTGTGAACAGAATATAATGTCATTAATTTACGAATTAGATCAGCAAAACCTTAATTCATACATGTAATATTTATAATACACTTTCAACCATTTCCTTCGATCCTTGTAAATTAAACAATGTACAAGGGACATATATTAGTCCCTGATTATACCAAGCATATAATCTTATAGTTCAGTGAATAAAAAATAAATTTTGATTAAAGTCATATATGGCATATATTTTTGTTTATATACTATAAACGTAAAATCTTTCTATTTGATTATAAATGTTACTTTCCAGTAAAATTACACATGTGTCCTCCTTTTTTAGAAAAAGAAAATACGTCAATAATATTACAAACAAAAATTTTATAAAATAATAACTTATTGTTAGGAATATATTTAAACGAAAAATATGGCATATATTTTTGTTTATATACTATAAACGTAAAACCTTTCTATTTGATTATAACTTATATATATACAATGTTACTTTCCAGTAAAATTACACATGTGTCCTCCTTTTTTAGAAATCAAGAAAATACGTCAATAATATTACATACAAAAATTTTATAAAATAATAACTTATTGTTAGGAATATATTCAAACGAAAAATAGGGAAAAATAAAATAAACTATTTTGGCACGTGTCTTTAATCAGTGAGAGTTATCTTTCTTTGATACTTACATGCACATATCCTCAAATAAAAATACTTACGCTAAAATTATGAAATTTTTACTTGGTATCTAGGCTTTAGATCAGTTAATTTAATCAATATTTATTATTTTTTTGTTTATTCTTGACAATATTAGGGGCATTTCGGTGATTTCTTGGGGCATTTCGGTGATTACAGGGCATTCCGGTGATTCGTAGTACCGGACTAAAATGGGTAGCGAAACCCGGGCCGGGCCGGGATTTTCGATAACGAAAACCGGGTTTTTGATAATCACGAAATAAATACTCATTCTTTCTTCATGATATTTACGGACATAGTTTATTATTCTAGGATTGGCCTTCGCTGAAAGTTTTAGGTCAAAATGTTGTGTTTTTTAATGATTATCACAGATTGTCCTTTTCCAAGTTACTAAAATAGGTAGCGAGCCCGGATTACATTTTGGCGATTTAAACTTAATTTCGGCAGCATATTTACAATTATTTCATTTGGATCTTTGAAATTTAACTTAAACTACCTAAAACATTTAACTGTTGCAGTAATAAATCACGATTATTGAAAATATACGCATTTTTTGAACAGAGAGAGAGAGAGAGAGAGAGAGAGAGAGAGAGAGAGAGAAAGAGAGAGAGAGAGAGACATATAATTGAAATATAAATGACTCTTTATGATTTGCATATTTTTATTAATTTTTTCCGATTTATTTCTTAGATGTTTCTCGGTCAGGGACTGAAAAAAATCTACATTCTTTCTCTGGCAATCCGGAATTATTAATTTGTCCCGGGCAAACGCGTCCGGTTTTGACCTGTCCCGGGTCTATGAAAAATGACAAAACCCCTGATAATTGACATTTAATTTCATAATGATTGAACAATTTAACTATTTGAAGTTAATAAACAACCATTAAATGCAAATGTCACAAACACTTTCGTTGCATTAAGCTTAAAATCGCCAAAATGAGTAGACCGGGCTCGCTACCCATTTTAGTCACCTGGCGATTATCATCGAAAAACAAAACATTTTGACTTAAAATTCTCAGCGAAGGCAAAACCTATAATTATAAACTATGTTTGTAAATTTCATGAAGAAAGAATGAGTATTTATCTCGTAATTATCAAAAACCCGGCTCTCAGTTTTGAAATTCCCGGCCCGGCCCGGGTTTCGCTACCCATTTTAGTCACACTCGATTTTGCCTACTTGCGGTGCACTGTCGATTTTTACCCAGGGTTTTTGGGTACACCATGTACACAACAGTCTAACTTTCACTTGTTTTCAATCATTAATGAGAATTCAAAATTCATTAATATGAAATAAATATTTTTGAAAAAAGAAATAAATACCACACCTTTTAACACGCACCGTGACCACACTGAATATATGAGGCAAGTTTTCCCCGGGTAAGAGAAGTCTAGACTCAAGATTCAAGTGACGTTGTCGAACCAAAAATAAGTTTCGCATATAAAGCATATAACCAATTTCACAACGAAAATGTGTTAAGAAAATATTTTCAAACTTTTTCTACAGAGAAAAAGTTCATTCTTTCATTCAGTTTTAATTATTTTGTCCGACGGAGAGATGTTATTTTCGTATTGTGAGAAGCTTTACATCATGTTTGATTTCGCGCCACATTTCAAACACCTAAAATCAAACACGTGCTCGTCACATATTTCAAATAAGAATCTCACATAAAAATTAACGAATCATTGATAGTTACAGTGCTACATATATTTCATTTATATCCATTATTCTCTACGTAGAGACATAAATGACGAATTAATTGGCTTTCCCTGCAATTCTTTCCCCTTTTCGGATCTGTACACCTATACATGTATAAGTTCCCATCTGATCTGAAACTTTGATGGGCGGTTATGAGAGATAAGGTTTTTTTTTCATTATACTTGACAATTTCTTGTTTAAAGTAATAATTATACACTCCGTCTACGAAAACCTTTAGGTAAACTAATTCCAGAATAGATTTCTCTCTCTCTTGTGGCAGTCGTGCACTTATATTACTCGATCCATAGACGTCGGAAACGGGGGGGGGGGGGGGGCTAGGGGGGGGGTTTAGTCCCCCCCCACTTTTTTTGCAAATTTATACATAATATAGGCATTGAAAATTGTGGTTTGCCTTTTTTTGTTGGTTTACCCCCCCCCCCCGGCCACTTTCAATTAGCCCCTCCTTTCAATTTGCTACCAACGCCGGTGTGATCTCTTTTCCATTCTCTAGATCATCCTTAAGTTTCCCCTGGACCCTCCACATCTCCCTTATGCTTGTATCTATGTAATGCCACCAGTGGGACCATAAATAAATTCTATTCAATTCTCCACCTGTCTTTTCAGTTTCACCCCCCCCCCCCCCCCCCCCCCCCCGCCTCCAAACGGAGTATAACAGTATTTGTGAGTTATGCTGCAAATTAGAGCCATTCTGTTTATAATATTGCATTTTTTACTGTGTCAGTAAAGTTTGGGATACAATTGATGCCCATTAGGAATGACCTTTGAAGAAAATGTTAATAAACTTTGACACTAATATCGAAAGTTCAAGTATTAGCATACTTATCAGAGAGAGATAGAGAGAGAGAGAGAGAGAGAGAGAGAGAGAGAGAGAGAGAGAGAGAGAGAGAGAGAGAGAAGAAATTTGTCAATATCTAACAATCTTGATTTAAGTCTTGATACATGGTTCTGAATAAAACTGAACGACCATTTAATTGTCAGTCGTATGAATCCTGTAGTTGTCCCTATGCATTGCCGGACTGATGTATTTCTGAACATTTTGTTCAGCTGTTGAATACTCACACATTGTTTTGTGTTCTTTGTTTTAGTCGATTATTGAGTCACCAAATTTTATTTTAATTCAAACATTTCCCCCCTTTTCAACACTTTCTGTATCCAGGGTTTTAAACTTTATATTGATAATCAAAATCACCATAACTTTGACAAGGCAGAAATGTGTTAATGTGCCTGGCATTTCTTTTTCTTTATAGAAATCTATACAAAGTAACAGGTCATGTCTTTTTAAAATTAGAGATTTAATTTACACTCATAGTGTATTGCTTGAGAAAGGGATATCAGTTTTAAATACTCGAGTTAGCCATGCATCCAAATGAAATGTAGACTTCGTTTCTTAATTTCCTGCTTATTCCTCTTCAAACATTCGAACAATAACTGCTAATTGTGGTATCAGATGAAGAAACGTGGAATTAAAGAGAATACATCTTCGAAATTCTAATCAATTGATCCGTTACTGAAAAGATGCCGACATGTGAAAGAAAATATATATTATACAGGTGTAAAGAGGGTTCTATCATACGGCTAGCGACATGCATGTAAAACTTCGTGTCACTAGGAAATCCCCGGTAAGTGGAGGAGAGCTAATTTTATCTGCTTAATTTGAATTTGATACAGTGTTTACAAGTGTCTACGGATGATAAGTATTATCGGCTCCCCGAACAGGTGCGCCTGTATTGACAACCTCGGCGGTGTGTAGAAAACAGGGGAAAGAAGTCAGGTAGGAAGTCAGGTTTTAATTTCTTGTTAAAAACATCAAAATTATTATTTTACATAATTAAATTTAAAAGAAATTAGCCATCGGTCTTATATTTTAAAAAAGATGGGGGGGGGGGGGTGGGGGTGTTAAAAACATCAAAATTATTATTTTACATAATTAAATTTAAAAGAAATTAGCCATCGGTCTTATATTTTAAAAAAGATGGGGGGTGGGGTGGTTACCGTTATATCTGCCATTGTATAAAGTTGGAGAAAAACATAATCATCTAAATAGGTATTCATACAAGAACCATCCACGATATTGACTTTTATATATTACAAACGGCAACAAATGTAGATTCTCTACTATTATAGACGTAAAATTGCACAAACCATTTTTAATCAAATATTTTTTAAAAAATCTTGATATCGTAACATGAGCCATGAAGGCACAAGTGTCTATACAATATATTGGTCTTCCAAGATCCATTTCAATTTTGTCAGACCGTCAAGCTAAAGATCTATACATGAAGCTAAGGATGAACTTCATGAAAGTGTATCTTTTGTGTGTGTGTGTGTGTGTGTGTGTGTGTGTGTGTGTGTGTGTGTGTGTGTGTGTGTGTGTGAGAGAGAGAGAGAGAGAGAGAGAGAGAGATAAAGAGAGAGATGGGGTAGGGAGTTGAGGTGGCATTTAGGAAATTTGTTCACATATGGTGTTTTGTCAGTTTATTTTCACATCAGAATCACAAGACCTGCTGTTTACTACATTGATTATATTTTCATGAGAGTGATATCCATCATATGATTAGTTGAATAGAAGTTCAGATGCACTAAAATTACAATATGTACTTATACATGTATACACCCCTCCCCACTCAAAATGTCCTGACCTTGATTGAACTAGTTATAAGCCTGATGTGTCTACATGCTTCCGTCTCCTAAAGTGAGGAATTGGGTGACATTTAAAAGAGCAAGCACCTGCTGAATGTTGCAATTTATGAATAAAACGGTCTTCCAATTAATTATTCAAATAAGGAAAAACGAGAACAAAATTCTAAATAGCCTGCCGAAATACATGTTACCTGTCAGGACGGAATTTGGATTGGGATGAATATTTTGTTCATAATCCGCGGCCCAGATTGCGTGTCGGGTTAATTTGTTAATGATTTATAGTGCTATAATATTGATGACGAGTTGTAGTGTACCCGGGAGATACCAGAGAACAGCCGCTCGTCATTTCTGTCCGTAACACTGCAGCCGTTACGTGGAGTCAGTCCGATCTGCGTGTGGACCCTGTGTGACCATTTTCTGGGATTGTGAGGATATTGCTAAGTTTTAATATCTTCGTTTGCACTCGAAGATTTATCTTTACTGCCTTTACTACTTGTTTATGACGCCTGGGGATATTGAATATTGATTCTAAGTTGTTTGATGGATTTTAATAATTATGAATCGTTATGCAGGTGAGTTGGTGACTTTTTGGGCTACTTTTGTGCCTTTTTTTTTAAACGTAAAATTTTTAAGAAAAAAGAACCGAAAACTTCCTGGCGTTACATTGGCGTGTCTGATTATACATGTGTGCCATTGCACTCGAGCAAATTAAACAGATATTTGTCAAATTATGTCATAAAATATAGCGTAATTTCTCGCCTCGGGGTCTTATAACGATTTATTCGTGCAGAACAGATCCATAACTCATAATGTAAATAAAATACAGCATCAAACACACCCCCTCATTTTAAATAAAGTTTTTAAAAGTGAAAACGATTAAGGGTTCTAATAATTTTAAAGCAAGATTGTTATTCCGAACGTCATGCATTGCTCTCTCTCTCTCCCTCTCTCTCTCTCTCTCTCTCAGATTTGTAATTTTGTTATGAATCAGCACATGCTATGATGACATTTTACGTCCACAAAATTCTGGAACTTTGCACCATTTTCTGGAATGCAAACACTTTAGTCACTGCAAGGACTCAATGAGGAAAAACTTCAATATATTCTCTATATCACTTATTTGGATTGGATGGAACTATTTAGAGTTCTCTCTCCGGGATTTGCAGAGCACTCTATATTTCAATAGACTGCTTACAGAATATATACTAAACTTATACTGTATCTGGAGTTTATGTTAGTACTTCTATTGTACCAACATGCTACAGAATGTTAGTTCATCTTCGTTCAAGTTTATTGAGAGAAAAGACAATTTTGGACCAGTTTGACCGAGGAAGTACACCCCCTCCTTTTTTTGAAAGGGAAAACGATTTTTTTTTCTTTTAGGAAATTAATAAAAATCTGTGTAAGTATATATAGTTTCAATATCAAAAAAAATATGCTGCCAATAAAAGTAAATTATTATATATACGTGTGTTGATCAATATATAATGCCACAACTGCTAAAACATTTTTAATAATTGAAAGTCTTCATTTAAGCTTTATATTTTAAGATATCGATCTATTTTGACTTTTTTAGAAATTTCATTCATATAGGGGCCTGTATGCAATGGTTATACAAAATTAAGCTAAACACAATTTCTCTTTGCTTATTTTAAATCTGATGATATGTGCATAAAAATTAAGCCCCCCCCCCAATACAAACTTAATACAAACTTATGTTTATTCACCAATCAAGGGCCCTCGGAAGGCATGAACAAATTATTACAATATGATTACACTGATTACAATTCTATATTATAGGTGTATAATGTAATATGACTAGTGATTAAGTTTGACATTGAGAAGTACATCACCACAAGATGTATCATCATAAAAATGTAGGATTTGTTACATATTCACAGTACAGTCTCACACTGGATCAAAAGTATAGAAAACCGTAGGATGATAAAAAAAAAAAATTAAATAAAAATAATAAATATAAGATAAATAAAAAAAAAATTCTTGTAACTTGTATATATATAAATTGATGTAAAATAATATTTGGACAATGTTCATATAATTATAACATCTCAGTATTTAAACCATTTTATACATGGAATGAAATTTTAAGGAAAAACGTCAAAATAGAAAGGGGTACAGGCGCGGATCCAGGATATTTTTTGTGAGGGGGGGGGGGGCTCCAAAAAAAACCCCCTAAACTCATGACATTGCGGAAACCTATTTCTCTGTATTTATGTGTGTGTTTAGGGGGATAGGAATGTATTTCGTTGTCGTCGTTCTAAGGACTTTGCACATTAACTTAACAGAAATCTGCATTATCTAGGGGGAGTCCAGGTCACTTTTTCACTTTTTACTTTGTTTAGGATATGAATTTAATAACACTGCTAATTCCAGGGGTGGGGTGTATGGACACCTCCTCCCTGATCCCCCTCTTGATCTACGCATGGGGGTATCAATATTTCAAATTTTGTTGATAAAATTTGATTATTAAAGTCTAAAGACTTTGTATAAGTTTGATCAACCCTCGTTGCAGGGATAAAATGAGCACATTTTAAAAAAATATTGCTAATTGATGTAAGTGTTTATTTATTAAACTTGTTCTCAAAAAGATTGGAGTGTGACATTGTAAAAATCTTAATCTGATTGAAAGCTTAGTGAAAGAACCTATTCCTGCAACAACCAAGAGATTGTGCAATTAATGAATATTCATAATAATTAATAAAGATAAAAGCTTATATTTTGTCATTGAGTGCTACCCTCCAGATATTGGGCTGTTAAATTATAGCTTCAGCAAGCCTCATCAATTACACTGAAATAAGACTCTGGAGTTTACACAGGAACCTAGCTGGAGGATATTATCCCTCATATTGGTCCAAGTCACATGTGACACAACAACTTGATACAAAAACTCTGGATGCTTCATGTCTAAACTTCCTCTGGGCCATGCCATTCGTACTTTGCTACCTTAACTGATATTTCCTTGGCTGAACCCATTCATTTTAACAAAAACAGTGTCAGAAAGGAGAAGTTTAATTACTGCACAGAATATGTGAAATATAACAACGTGCCACTTACGTAGTAACAATTTATTAAGTGTAGATAGTTTATCTAGGAGTGGGAATCAGTTATGACAGAGTTATTTACTGGATCTATCTTACAATAAAAATGTTTAATTCATCTCTAATCAGTTGAGCCTATTTTCCCTTCCTTTTTATATCCTTTATTGGTTTGTGAGTGACGGTCGGCACACAGAGCCCTTCTGTATCGGAGTGGCGAGCTAATGGATATTTTACAATATTGGAGTTTGACTACATTGATCACTTAGGACTGTAAAAGTTAGCTTCAGATTTTTTATTGTTTATTTTCACCAGATTGGACTATTAACCTGCCATTTTGCTGCTCTTAGTTCGAACTGAATCCCATTTTTGATGTTCATGATGTGGGCTATTAATCGGTTTTCTTTCTAACAGACATGAAGCTTAAGAAAGGACGATTTATACCTGATGAAGTGTTTAAGAAAACAAGTATCTGCTGATTTAGGAAAAACCTGTTGCTGGATACAAAAAAAAAAACATGTAAATGTTATGTCAATCATGGAGGAGAGATGCAAAGAATGAAGTGAGAGGTTGTGATCACAAATGATGACCAATAACAACACCCTGGGGATCAGCCCCCTGGGGAAGAAGAGTCCCCGGCGCCGGAGTTACGGACTGGTCCGAGAGGACGGAGATCAGTCCATGTGGAAGGAGTTCTCACTGTCCCATATCAAGGTATGGCTATATCAAAGTATGATTATATCAAGGTACCATTATAAATATATCAGGTAACAATTATATCAATTTAAGGTACTGTTATATCAAAGTACAATTATATCAAGGTATGGTTATAATTATATCAAGGTATGGTTATAATTATATTAAGGTATGGTTATAATTATATCAAGGTATGGTTATAATTATATCAAGGCATGGTTATAATTATATCAAGGTATGGTTATAATTATATCAAGGTATGGTTATAATTATATCAAGGTATGGTTATAATTATATCAAGGTATGGTTATAATTATATCAAGGTATGGTTATAATTATATCAAGGTATGGTTATAATTATACCAAGGCATGGTTATAATTATATCAAGGCATGGTTATAATTATATTAAGGTATGGTTATAATTATATTGAGGTATGGTTATAATTATATCAAGGCATGGTTACAATTTTAGGGGATACAATAAAGAAACAGAGGGGTCCAGGTTTAAGATGATTAACAATATGAATTTAAATTTTCTTCAAATGTAATATTAGCAGTCAATACAGCAATGAATGGCATTTAAAGTGCATTTCCTTTTTGCCCATGAGTGATATTAATATTATTAATCTGTATTTTACATTGTCAATGAGAGACTCTCAAGCTAATAGCTTCCTCATTATTATCTAACTAGCTTCCCTGACATGTTATACACATGTTGTGTTTTCATTGGCTTACATGCATTTCAAAATCCACAAGTGTTTCTACTTTTAGTAATTTACTACCAGCATAGTATTAGAAAGCTCCCCACAAACGGCAAGACTTCACTGACATCAAAGGATTATTTCTCTCTTTTTATGTTCTATAATTAGAAGTTAAAACATTTCATTTCACCATATACGTATGTTTTTAAAAATTATTTCAATAAAAAAAATGACATTCCTCTTGCATGGTCCTGCTTGTCTCATTAAATAACGAATGAACTTACTGTGGTTATAATTGTAAAATATCAGAAAATATTGCATTTCCTTTAAAAGAACTATACTTTCAAAAGTCAAATTTTGAAAACTTCCTGAAATGTGCTGAATTCTGTGAGAAATATAATAACAGAAAATATTTAGTTAAGCAATTCACAATTTCTGTTATTATGAGTCACAAAAAATATCCTTTTTGACAAAATTTCAACAATTTAAAAATTTTAGCGCATGTGTGTTCAGGAACAATATTGACATATTTCATTGATATTATCATTCTACACATTATATCAAAATATCTATCCTGAACACACATTTGTCAGAAATATTACATTTTTCTGCAAAATTCATAAAAAACTGAAATTACGTCATATTTGTGACGTCTTTACGTACATATGACGTCATTACTTATGAAATTATTCTGTGCTTTGAAGTCAGTATATACTCCCCTGTTTAAGGACTTAATTAAATATTACTCCATCAAAGTTTGATTTTGGGGGGGCAAATGTTGGTTAATACCGCATATAGTTCTTTTAGTGGGTAGTTAATATGACCTTAGCAAGCAAATTTGTCAGTTACAGCAATCAATGTCAATTAATGTATGCGAACAGTGCTTTTTATGAGCAGCATGTTCAGAGTATATTTCATCAAGAAAAATTAGACCTGTCTGTGAAAATACATGTATATCCTACACAGCAATCTCAAAGGCATAATTCATTGCATTAAGACGAAATTAGATATATTCAATTCAATTCAAGAATATTAGATAGAATATTGATAATATTGTACATGTATTATGAGAAATTTTCTGAATTAAAAAAAAGAAAAAAAATAAGGCCATTTTTTAATGCCCTGTTCACACGACGAGTTTAATTCGAACTAAACGTAAGTTACTGTGAATAAAATTTGAACCACATTCACATGGGGAGTTTAATGCGAATCTCTTCAATTCAAATTAATTTACTGTGCATTAAATTATTTCGCATTAGCTTCATGTGAACGCTAAGCGAAACTAATTCCAATTAAATTTTGAGGCTTGCGTAATGGCAAATTTAAGTCAAATGCCACATTTCGGTGGTCAGATTTACGTACTTGTGCTATTTTTGAGTGAAAAACTACTAAAAAATTGTGTTAATCACTAAAATGTGTGTACAGACACTTTGAAATTATGTCAAATGCATCTGCTTCTGCATAAGGTGACATATGATTTGCAAATGACGTCATAATAGCCTTACTGATTGTAGAAGTAAAATTTTAATTCGCATTTGTTTACCTCACATTAACTGTCGTGTAAATGCAATTTAATTCGCATTAGTTCAATTCGTGTTACTTTACTTCGCATTAATTTACTGCAAATTAAACTCGTTGTGTGAACAGGGCATAAAGGTCTTTGTTTGTCTCTCCTAAATAACTGACAAAAAAGAGCCTCATTGATTCAAGGTGTTAATTATTTTGATGTGACATTATTTTTTGATAACGATATACAATCTGGTGTTGTACAGTAAAACTTGGTTATAATGAAGTCACTGGGACCTATGAAATTACTTCGTTGTATCCATAATTCATTATATCCATATATGGAAATTGTTAAATTTATATAGCTGGGGATCCAAGATAACTTCCTTTTATACTAACAGAAGTTGTTTGTACCAGGAATTTACCAATTAGACTATCCTGTCATGGAATATTTGGGTTTCACCCTGGTCCCTTACAGTTAGTGATTATTGGGACAGAATCCAATTTGTCAAGTTGTGTCTGAAAACAAATGAGCTGAGGGAAAATGGACAGTTTTTCACTTTAATCTGTCAAAGAATTCCTGAATTTTACAGGCTGCAGTCAGAGCTTCAGTCAGAGCTGTGTTTAGGAAAGTGTCGGGTGGGATATCATTTTACAAGTGTCTGTCATTCTGAAAATAGAAAAAATGTCAGTTAATTGTCTTAAGGCCGGTATACACGATGAGATTTGTAGTATAATACAAGTATTATAATACTTTTGTATTATAATACTTTCTTGTACTCACGCTAATACATATCTTATAAGATTGTAAATAAACTACGTGTTTTCCCCGCCATAATTCTCTTTCTGTCAAGAAAATAGAAATGGAGGATGAGGCTCTGATAGCAGTGTCTATCATCGAACTATGCACTGCTTGATATATTTCACAAGTCCTTTTCCCCTTCCCATAAAACCACGAGTTCTTTACTTGTAAAGTTTGCCGTTATTATTTACCATGTGCTTTTTGTAGTAATGATAAAAATAGGATGACCGCTAGTGTCATTACATTTCATTGGTTGAAAGTAATAGGTAAGTTAAGACTTGTATCAAGAAATAGATCTTAGAACCCACACTAATAATGTTAAAATTGAAACCTGGCTAAAAATTCTACTTATAGCATTGCTCTATTCTTAGTACACCTCTAATTTTTTAATTTACAGTTTTATAAGATTCTGTTTATATAAAATCTTATGATACACTGTATTAAGAGTGTATACACAGTAAGATTTTGTATTATAATACCAATCTTATAATACAAATCTTACCGTGTATACCGGCCTTTAGAGTTTTCTCTCAATATCCTGAACAAACTTGCCTCTCAATGATCTAAGTAATAAATAGATGAAAGACTTAGTAAACATATAAATATTATACTATTAGTACCGGTAGTATCCAATACATATGCATGGAAATGTTAATGACTGTTCTTTCGTGAGAAAACGCGTACTTTACTAAATTACATCTTTCTTAAGTATAAGTACAAACCAGTAGAGCTTCAGTCTGTCAAAGACTTCTGGTTTATGTACTGTATTTATTAGTACCTTTTCCCAAGTACCGGTAAAATATGCATAACAACTTATTTCATATGTATTTTGTATTCTACTGAAACTTTGCGACAGAAAGCTTTTAAATATGGTCATAGATTTTATCTTGGAACAATGGTTTTGTTTTGGTTTCAGGACACGTTTAAAAGCTTACAGATGGAAGAATTGTATCAGTCTTATTGTGTCCACATGAAGAATTCCCTGACGATTGCCCTTGTTGTCATGGCAACACTTATCTGTCTTACCGTTTTATTTTATCATCTTTTTGATACTCAGGTGAGAGGGGTGTAGAATTTCTCTAATTCTTTTACTTTCCAGACAAACGTTTTAATCTCTTTCTGAATCAGAATTATCAGCTATGTAGCTCAAAAGGTGTGAGGTTTTCATCTGGGAGAGAGAGAGAGAGAGAGAGAGAGAGAGAGAGAGAGAGAGTAATAAAGGGGATGGGTCTTATGTCTTTTATTGCTTCCAAATATTGTAAACCTTGTCAGGATTGTTTTTAATCCTTCTAGAAGCATAAATGGTCTAATATATTTTTTATTAAAGTATTCCATGCCAATGATCTGAGATTAAGTGTGGTTGAATGATCATTTACCATTACAGTTCTTAGAGTTTTAGCTAACTTTGAATGTCATCTTTGCCACTCATTGGTTTTAGACAGGCAATCTGTTTCAATGCTTATGATTAAGTGGGAATTTTAGCAAGACATAAATTTAGCGATTTATCTGAAAAAATCAGTATGTGTTTTTAGTGCGAAGTAATTTTTTTAGTGATTTTATTATGTCAAGGGAGATACATGTAGCTATAACAACTAACACGGAATAAATTGTTAGTGATAATAAATTTTAGAGATCTTAGAACCCACACTAATAATGTTAAAATTGAAACCTGGCTAAAAATTCTACTTATAGGTTAACACTTTAAAAATTTAGAAATTCACAATCTCAAGGCTCAGGAATCAGGCCCCATTGTGGGGGGTAATTTGGTCAGAAATAAAAAATACATTACCCAGTACACCTCTAATTTTTTAAACCTTACTTATGGACATCAAGTCCACTGTTTATATAACTACAGTCTCTAATTCTTTACCAAAATATATAATTTATGTCCATATGGTCCAGTTTCAGGCCCCGGTAGGGCTAAGTTGGTCATTTGTTAAAAATACATTGCATCTACGAAAATCTTCATCTTTTCTCATAAACATCTAGGAGGAAAATTGCATTTATATAAAATACTTTAACATTGCAGGAAATGGAAAGTACGGAGTTTATTTCACATGTAGTAATCGTGGCCTCAGGAATCGCTGGAAACTGTTTATTCTTTGGTTTTGTGGTGCGGAATAAATTCTACTGTCGTTACCCGACATGTTTATCTATATCCTACTGGATATTTCTCATTGTGCTGCTCAATTTATATTTCAATGTGCCATCTCATAACCGCCGCCCCACGGATGATGTGGTAGTGGTGTTCTATACCATTCTTGTTTGCTATACCATGCTACCGCTCTCTAAGTGCTGGTCTCTTGTGCTGGGTGTGCTGACGGTTGTGCTGCAGTTGATGTCTGCGGGATTTCTAGCGGAGGATAAGAGACTTCTTGTAGGACAGGTGAGAAATGCTGTTAATTGAATTGACGTAACAGAGTAATCGGCGCTGATGAAAAAAGGATTAAACTTTTATATATCTGGAGCAATTCTTTGTGCATACTTCATATATGCACCAAAATTAATTTTATTAAATTATATAAATACATATTACAATATATTATTGACAATGCTAGTTCATGATGGCACCAAAATTTAGAATAGAATACAGTTTAAAATATGGAGTTTACAACAGTATCCTCGTAATACATGTATATATCATTTTCCCACTATCAATCTTTTACAACATTAAAACAAGTAGAATATAATATACATTTAAGTTTTGATAACGTTAATTTATGTACATGTACAGTATATAGTTTTTTCCCCTGTCTATTTTTTTTTTTTTACCTTTTTATTAAATCAATAAGAATATATATAATAACTTTTCCTGTATTTCAGTTGATAAGTAACTTTGTGATTCTGGTGTGTGCCAATATAAACGGAATGTACCACAAGTACCTGACCGACCTGACACATCGACGGACATTCCTAGAGGCACGCAACTACATACAGTCCATGTTTAAACTCGAGAGAGAGAAAAAACAACAGGTAGGTTTATAATGTCAGTGTGAGATATATTTCTCCTTTGGTGACATTCAGTAGGGGGGGGATAAGCTGTGAACCCCGTAGTTGATTTAGAGGGTTTGAGTACAGGTGTGAGGATGTCCTAGGTTTGAGGTTTAAATCTCCTAGTGACATTCAGTATGGGGATAGACTGTGGACCCGTAGTTAGTTTATAGGGTTTGAGTACAGGTACTAGGTATGAGGTCTACCTAACTCTTCTTCTATTTGTTACCCATTTCAAGACATTATTTAGACTTAGACTGAGGCATTTATTGCATAAGACTTTAATATGTGTCAATCTCTCATATTTAGATACTTTCATTAGATACCCCATTAATTATTAATAGTAATTTCATAAGATATATATTAAAAATTTTATTCCTGAATATCACTCTAAATGTAAAAAAATTAAAAAGAAAAGTCAAATTTGTTAAACTGTTTTTAAAAGCTTAATTTATTACTGCCTTAAACTGTTATGTTTGATACTTCCATTAAATATCCTTTTAAAGCTTTCATAGATATAGTATACATTAAAATGACTTGCTCTGAATAGCATTTCAAATGCAACTTACATGCATGAAAATTAAAATTTAAAGGAAAAAATGAATTCGTTAAACAGTTTTTATTAAAAAAAAAATTTTATTACTGCTTAATAAAACATATTTATCATTGACTGTATACTAACATGGTGATGTCAATAAATAAATTGAATTGAATCATATTTATCATAAAGTTTTCCTCTAAACCATCATTATTATATTTGATGCAGGAGATGAAGTTCATTGACCAGCTAAGGAGGGGGGGGGGTCATGAAGAATGAACAGCCTTCATAAATATTTTTAATTGTAAATAATTAGTTGAGATAATTCTTGTTGTTAATGGTGTAATATCACAACATATCATGATAGAGTTCAGTCGGGGAATACCCCAAGATTCCTTTAGAAATCAAGGCATTTTTTGAGATTGTAATATTATTTCATCTGTCATTAAGAATGGCATTATATCCATCACCCAGGCCTTTCCTGGAATTCATAGGAAAAATGAAAATGTGTGCCATTTACAGAATCCATGCATTCTGTCAGCTCACTGCAGATTATATATCACTCAATCTCAAAGTATCTCTACATCATAAATACCCAGGGAAATGGAGAAAAGAAATTATTTTGAGGGATTATGATTATTAATATTTCCTGATATTGCCTCTGAATCCCTTTGATAAAGTTTGCCCTGAGGGTGAGTCTGTGTGCCAAGTCTCTGCTCTGGATTCACAACTTCTCTCCCTCTACTCTGCGCATCGTCAGATCTGATGGTCCCTGCTATACCTAGGGGACTATGCACTCAATGTCAAATAATGACAAGTGAATTTATTGCAGAGAAGGTTTTTTTGTGTATGATGAAACAAGTTATGGTAAATAGCAGTGAGTAATTAAGGACTTGTTCTTTATAATACAACAGGCGGGCTTGGTGAGACTGCAAAATAGAGTCTAGTCCCCTTTGCTGATTCCATCATGTAATAAACTATTGTCAAAAGTGAATGTCAGTAAGCAAGCTAAACAACAAACCACTACCATATTCACAATATTGCAGACTGTCCAATAATGTTCAAATGATGGCAGTCTGAGTTGTTTTTGATATTTTGGAGGTACGTTTCTGTAGGAGTAATCAGACTTAATGTGTATCTGTCAATAAGGACTTGTTTACTATCAGAACTTAGTGGGAATGGTCAAAATCACTGGACAATAAAACCATGAATTATTGAAATATATCAATAATTTGTTAGATCTTTAACTGAGTGGCATATGTTTATCATTTCAGCTATGGATTTCATGTAAATATGGATTTCATATACTGTGTAAGTGGAAATTTTAGCGAGACGCAAATTTAGCGATTTGACCTTGAAAGTCGGTATTTTATTTTTAGCGAGAAGAAATTATAGCGATTTTAAAATGCTCACAGAAGAAGCTATTACAACTTCATTGAAATTATTTTTTAGCGATATTATACAATTATAGACTTTAGTGTAGGGCAATATGTGGTTATACGGACTCATGGCAATTGATATTGACCAAAGATACAGAAAGTGATAGCGACCGAACCTGCGAGATTGCTATCATTTTTTGTGTCTGAGGTCAGTATCAATATTGCTAGGAGTCCTTATAACCACATATTGACCCATCATCTCAAGCCACTGTCCGGAGTCCGCATATATAGCTCTCTCCTACCCGTGGCTGCTTGATCACAAAAAGTGTCATAATCTTGAATATTCACACCTCGCTATTGTGACGTCATATTCAGTCAGTGGCAAGTTTTGTTTCCATCGCAATCGAAATCAACAACTGACGTCAACAGTATACAAGAAATATTTCCTATACTGCAATTGGATATTGAAAGGTCGCGATAAAGTTCATCATCCGACTATGCTTTACTCGCATTGGTCAATATCTTAATGAGCTACGAAGAATTCTCTCCTCGTTCAACCACGGCCAGAATGGCAAAGGAGTGTACATTTTGGCTGTGGTTTGCGATGATGATATTGACCGTGCACTGAAGTTAATAATAGTTATATTATATAATCAATCAAAGTAAATGCACTAGCTGACACAGTCCTAACTGCATGAACAGACTCAGCTGTCATTACATCACAATGGTTGAAACACGCTTCTTATATTATGACGTCACGTTCTACGTAACTTTGGTGCAGCGGAATGGTGTATCGTGCAATATCATTTTCCGCGGATGCGCTTTTGAGTCGACATCAAAAAGGATGAATATCACGTGATGTTCCTTCATCCAATGAAAATTATGAAAATAATCTTCTTATATAATATTCAATTTTAGCGATCTCAGCACCCTCGCTAATAATGCCAAAATTAAATCCTCACTAAAAATTCTGCTTATACGGTAAATTTATTATATTATTCCAAGATTTTACTGTCAATAAATTGATATTGTGCAAAATTAGATTAAAATTTTTATTAATTCAATATTGCTTATCATAGAGAATGGTTTTTGATGGCTAAAGTTTGTTTGAGTAAGCATTGTAGGGAAGTAATGTTGTAACTGAAGTTTTGTAAGCTAGCTAAAGTTTGTTTAAGCATTGTAGAAAGTAAAGTAAAGTTTGTTTGGTAGCTAGAGAAAAGTTTGTTTGAGTATGCATTGTAGGAAAGTAATGTGGTAGCTAAAGTTTGTTTGAGTAAGCATTGTAGAGAATGGTTTTGTGTTGGGTTAAGTTTGACTGAGTAAGCATTGTACGAAAGTAATGTGGTAGCTAAAATTTGTTTGAGTAAGCATTGTAGAGAATGGTTTTGTGTTGGCTCATGTTTGATTGAGTAAGCAGTGTAGAGAATGGTTTTGTGTTGGCTTAAGTTTGTTTGAGTAAGCATTGTAGAGAATGGTTTTGTGGTGACTGAAGAATATTTTAAGCTCACCTGGACCATATTCTCCTTTGATCTAAAAAATGTGTGATGTCCTACAGTTCATATGTCTAATGTTCAGTAAAAATTTCACATTTCATAAAAGTTGTACACCTACAGCTACATTTCAACTAATTTAAGTTGAACTTTACTAATTCAACTAATTTAAAATTTCATGTGTAGTAGGAAAGGAGAATTAATGCTCAAAGAAAATGATTGGCTGGACCTGGAATCGAACTCGGGACCCCTGCTCTAACCACTGAGCTATCCAGGCTGATATCCACGGTCCCTAAAGCCCAAACTTCTACACATGCAAAGAAAACTTATATTATACATTTTGTTGGTTTAAATAGAAATGAAGTTTGAATAAATGAAGGGTCATGCCTTCAAGGGGACATACCGGTAATTAAAAAAAACAGAAGATAGGACAGAGTCCTTTAAAAATTATCTTTAAAAACAGCAGCATCAGAGAAGAAAAAATCTTACAGAAGAGTTTCTTTCTTAATTAGAGATTCAAATTTGTTCCCACCACCCCTGTGGCAATATTATAACAGGATCATAATATAAAAAGTTTTATTTTTTTTTTCACAGGAGGAGCTGCTAAATAGCTGTATTCCTAATGATTTGGTCGAGGAAATAAAAGATCTGAGTAAGAAGATGAAGAGTAGCCAAACATCACCATTCCACGATCTGTATATACAGCAACACACAGATGTTAGGTATGTATAATAAGATGTCACCATTCCACTGTGGCGGTCAGCCGGGTTTGATCGCTGGTGGCTGGATAGTTGGTAGAGCACCTGACCGATTCAGGGGACCTGGGTTTGAATCAGGTCTGATCTGCAGCATTTTTCTCCTCTCCGGTACCATTTGGTGCCATGCCATGCCCTGCAACTGAAAGATGAGAGGCCTGCCAGGGATGAGCCTGGGTTGGGATCTTTGGGGCCAAAGACCTTTAAGGAGGGAGGAATGTGGCAGTCAGCCAGGTTTGATCACCAATGGCCAGATAGCTCAGTTAGTAGAGCACCTGACTGGAGTTTCAGGGGGCCCGGGTTCGTATCCCAGTCTGGTCCACTGCATTTTTCTCCTCTCCCGTTATACCACTATTTGTATGTACAGCAACAGATGTCAGGTATCTACAATCGCCAGGCTGGGCAGCTCATTTTACAAAGTTTATTCACCTAGGATGGGAGCTGGCACATTACCTATCTACCCTATGGCAAATTTTTTGTTAACAAATGGAAATATTTCATGATATAGTCAACCCAAAACAACAGGGGTGTAATGACTTCACCATTTCACTCAATTTATTGCCCAATCTTCATCATAATTTATTATGTACCAAGATGGATAAAATGATAATATATGTGGAATTAAAAAAATATGTTGAGGTCAATTTTGATACAGTGCATTGACATGTAATTGGAATAAAGGAGAATAATCTTTTTAGTTATATACATTGAATGAATTTAAAAAGTATCTACACAATTAGGAATGTGGTTGTAGCTGCCAGCATCAATTCATTTCATTATTGTAATGCCCTGTTCACATGGAGAATTTAATTCACAGTAAATTGATGCAAGTATTATTCTTAAATTATATTAACTAAGTTAGGGTTTTTGTTCTTTGAGCTAGCTTATTATCTCAGAAAAACTGTTGATTTTTGGTGATATGCTCTAATATTTCCTGTTTCAGTATACTGTATGCGGACATTGTGAACTTTACCCCACTGGCTGCCGAGTGCACCGCCGAAGAACTGGTCAAAATGCTGAATGAACTCTTCGGCCGATTTGACCAACTGGCGAAGGTACAAGACAGATTCCTAAAACAAAATGTTTCTTTTTTTTTGCATTTTTTGATACATTTGTACAGATACTAATTAGGTTGACTTTAGGCAAGGAAAGCCCTCTTCATGGGTAATGCTGCCCTAAACATCATATACAGGTACTGACAGAGGGCTGAAAGAGTCCCCTATTTTGTGTATTAGTTTTGTTTGGCACTTTCTGCATGATTTTTGACTTGAGTTATTTTCTATGTATAAGAATTAGCTCTTGTCTCAATCAATTTAAAACCATAAAGGTATTAGATAAAAAAGGACACTATGCACTTTGATTTGCAAGAAAGATAATTAGTTTTATAAGTGAGACCAAATTTTAATGCATATTGGTTAATGTTTTATATGCTATCTTAAATTGTAAAAATATATTAATTCATACAAAACTAAAATCTTTGCAAAAAGGGAGATAATTTTTTATTTTCAGAAGAATCACTGTATGAGGATAAAGATTCTGGGGGATTGTTACTACTGTGTGTCAGGTCTGCCCACGCCCGACCCCAACCACGCCGCAAACTGTGTCAACATGGGGCTACGCATGATTGACGCTATCAGGTAATATTTTGTTTTGTGTGTCTCAATACCGACCCCAATCACAATGCTAACTGTGTCAACATGGGGCTACGCATGATTGACGCTATCAGGTAATATTATGTTTTGTGTGTCTCAGTACTGATCCCAATCACAATGCTAACTGTGTCAACATGGGGCTACGCATGATTGACGCTATCAGGTATACATATTTTGTTTTTCCCAATCCTGACCCAAATCATGCAGCTAACTGTCAACATGGGGCTACGCATGATTGACGCCATCAGGTATATCATATATTTTAATTGTGTTTCCCAGTCCCAACCCAAATCATGCCACTTACTGTGTTATAACATGGGGCTTTGTTGTTTAATCAATCAGATATATTATACATTTATTATACATTTATTGCGTGATAGTGTGGGAAATATGAAATAAACTGCTGATGAAGAACAAATTAGGACTCTAGTTGCTCAGGTGAGCATTGTGACCCATTGGCCTCTTGTTTCTGTTGGGGTTTACATCCTATAGTCCCATCTATTAGATTAAATCTAAATCATATCTAAAATAGGTCAAATATAGAATTTTGTACAGCAGCACATTTTGACATTAAGACTGATATTACACTGGTCCCTATAGACTGGCTCACCTGTTAATGGCAGTGATCATCTGATTTGTCATTAACAGAAAGTAAGACAATAATTCCTCAAGATCCCCTCAATCTGCTCATGTAGAAATCTTATATAAGTGTCAGAAGCTGGAGGTTTTATCACCATATGTCAGACTCGCCAACATGAGGGATTAGGGGGGTGACAAAAACCGGTGCAGGGTTAGAACAACGTCCAGGGTTCCTCCGAGAGCCGTGATTAGTAATTCTACACCACCGATCAATCATCGCCTCCCAGAGATTAACTCAACACGATTTGACAATGAAGAGAACACATCAGTCATACTTCTGGTATTGTGTACAGCACAGTACGTTACCATAATTTTATAGAAAAGTATAACCAGAGAGATTTTTGATGCAGGTCCATAATTCCAATGAACTGTTCTAATATAAACTCATGAACCAAACTAATTCATGAAACAAACTAATAATCTTTCATACTTAGGTGGTACTTACATGTACTTTCATATTTGCTTCTGATTACTTTTGAATTTAATTCCTTGGAGCATTTCTTTTTTTGTACATAAAATTGAGGATGATAATTTGTTTATAAAGGATAAGGGACAGTAATTGCCCATTTTGCCATAATGTTTTGAAATACAATTAAAATTGTAATACAGTTGATATAATAGACTATGTGTTGGTAAAAGAATGTTATATATTGAATTATTCTCCAAATTTTTAAAATCTTTCACAAAATGTGTGAGGCAAATAATAAAAAAAAGGAAAAATAAAAACTTTTTGTCAAATGTATTTTATTTTATTTTTTGTCTTAAAGAAAAAAACCAGTGCTTTTTGATTTGATTTTCCTAACAGGTTTTGGATGGAATGGAACACCCAATTTTTAGACACTGGCATGATTGTCCTATTTTTTAAGTATGAGTGACTAAGAAGGTTAAAGATTTTAAAGTTGGTTCACTCCAAAGTCATTAAATGAACGGGACACTGAATATTGCTTTTATACTTGATTGATCAGTGTGTTTCAGATGGAAATTTGGTTTGGTTCAGATACTACTCAATGATTTTCTGTATCTAGTGAACCTTCATTTGAGAATTTCTGTAATGAGTTTCATCCTGCAGAATTATTAACTGTTTACTAACCTTATAGTAATGGCTCAAGGTGCAGAAAGCCTGAAATAATCTGATTTTACACCAATAATTATTTGTTGTAAAGCTTAAAAAAAATAAATTTGTATGGTAATGAAAATTAATCAGGTGTTATGTTTTTTTTTTGCCACCTGAATGACAATTTATTGGCAGATAGGACATGACCTGAATATATACTCTGATGTTACCATGTTTTTAATTATTAGCTCTCTCCCAATATCCCATTTGACCTCTGAAACATAGAACTTTTTTTTTTTACATTTTTATTTTGTATCTGATCGAGAAAACTATATGTTTGATAACTTAAATGGATATTTAACCCATTAATAGTACGAACATGGATATTGTGAATTTAAGGATAATCCGATATAGCAAAGTTATCGTGAATCCCCAGCTATATGAATTTAATGAATTCCTTATTAGGATATAGTGAATTGCAGATACAATGTAGTGAAATATTGTGACTTCTTTATCTAAGTTTCACTGATATAGCAAAGTTATCTTGAATCCCCAGTATATATGAATTTAATGAATTCCTTATACAAAATGCAGTCCCACTATGCATATTCTATTGAAATTTATTACGAAGTGGCAATATAGTTACATAATAATTTCTGGACATTTAATGGTCCCAGGTGACACTTATACTGCAAGGTGATAATTGATTTATAATTAATCTTATGTTGCCTATATGCTATTAAAATAATTTTCACTGTAATATAATTTCCTTATCTGTAAATTTAATTTTTTTCTAGTACATGTATAGAAACAGAGTGACGACTATTGTTGGACAAATACTTACAGAACTTTGTTTAATGGACGTGTTTGGAAAAATCACAATGCTATGTGAGCTGTAAAATGTTGCATATCAAGTATGATGCCCATATTTTTGAACATGAAATGACAAAATTTGATTAATAAATATTCCTCTAAAATACAAAATCATAGCGCTATTTTATAAAAACTACGTGTGAAAAGTTATCACTGCATGAAAATCATTACATCCGGTAAGACTAATTTTAAAATCTACCAAACAAAACCGGAAAATTTCGACTCTTGAAAAAACTTTTCACATTTTCATCTTCTTCTACAAGATAGGACCACTGAAGGCTCAAGTGAGCTTTTCTGATCAAAACTTAATTGCCACAAAGTAAACTTTTCACATTTTCCAATTTCAACCAAACTTGCCACAAAGTATCCTTGGGTGAAGGGGATTCAAGTTTGTTCAAATGAAGGGCCAAGCCCTCTTCCAAGGGGAGATAATTATGAATTAATGAAAAATTAATGGCATCTTTTAAAAATCTTCTTCTCCAGAACCATTGGACCAGGAAAGATGAAACTCATGTGAAAGCATCCTCAGGTAGTATAGATTCAAGTTTGTGCAAATCATGACCCCTGGGTTAGGGCGGGGCCACAATGGCTGATCAAAGTTGTACATAGGAATATATAGGAAAAATCTTTTAAAATCTTCTTCTTCATAACCACAGGGACAAGAAAGATTAAACTCATATGGAAGCACCCTCAGGTAGTGTAGATTCAAGTTTGTTCAAATCATGACCCCAGGGGGTAGGGCAGGGCTACAATGGCTGGTCAAAATTTTACAAAGGAATATAATTATAGGAATTTTTTTTTTTAAAAACCTTCTTCTCCAGAACCATTTGACCAGGAAAGATAAAACTCATGTGGAAGCATCCTCAGGTAGTAGATTTAATTTTGTTCAAATCATGACCCCCGGGGGTAGAGCGGGGCCACAATGGCTGATCAAAGTTTGACATAGGAATATAAAGGAAAAATCTTTAAAAATTCTTCTTCTCTAGAACCACTGGGACAGGAAAGATGAAACTTATGTGGAAGCATTCTCAGGTGGTATAGATTCAAGTTTGTTTAAATCATGACCCCTGGGGGTAGGGCGGGGCCACAATGGCTGATCAAAGTTTTACATAGGAATACATAGGAAAAATCTTTTAAAAATCTTCTCAAGATCAGCAAAGCTATGATTGGTGATATTAATATGGAGACATCCTCAGTTAGAGTTAATTCAAGTTTTTCATATCATGACCCCCGGGGGTAGGGCGGGCCCAAATTGACTGATCAAAGTTTTACATAGGAATATATAGGAAAAATCTTTAGAACTCTTCTTCTCAAGTATGGCAGAATTATTTATATATGTTTTATTATTGCTATCTGTTTTCGTCCGTCGTCCGTCGTCGTCTGTCGTGCGTCGTGCATTAACATTTGAACATTTTCAGCTTCTTCTCTGAAACCACTGATCCAATTTCAACCAAATTTAGCATATAGCATCTATAGGTGAAGGGGAACAAAAGTTATGAATTTCATGGTCCCTGCCCCCCTGGGGCCTGGGGGGTGGGGCAAAAACCACTAAAATTAGTGCAATCTTTAAAAATCTTCTTCTTTACTCCTGGACATCAAGCAGTCAAACTGTTGGTATCATTGTCATCAGCATTAAGTCTTCTACCAAAATTGTGAAATTCATGGCCCCAGGATCAGGGGTTCTAGTGCTAGGGCGGGGCTAAATAGGCTATATAGTGAAAATGCATTATTTCTTTGAAATTCTTCTTTTCTGCTCCTGGGCATTAAATAAACTAACCAAGTGGATAGTTGAGTTGAAAATGACTGCCTCTTCCAAAATTTTGAATTTAATGACCCCAGGGTCAGGAGTTCTAGTGCTAGGGCGGGGCCATATAGATTATTATAGTGAAATTGCAATAATTCTTTGATATTCTTCTTTTCTGTTTGCGGGCATTAAATAAACTAACCAAGTGCATAGTTATGTTGAATAAGGCTGCCTCTTCTAAAATTGTGAAATTCATGGCCCCAGGGTCAGGGGTTCTAGTGGCAGGGCGGGGCTATATAGATTATATAGTGAAAATGTATTATTTCTTTGATATTCTTCTTTTCTGATCCTGGGCATTAAATAAACTAACCAAGTGCATAGTTATGGTGAATAAGGCTGCCTCTTCTAAAATTGTGAATTTTATGGCCCCAGGTCGGGTTCCGGTGTTAGGGCGGCGTGTTATTGATTATATAGTGAAAATGCATTATTTCTTTGAAAATCTGGTTCTCTGCTTGTGGGTATTAAATAAACTAACTAAGTACATAGTTATGTTGAGTAAGAGTGACTATTCCACAACTGTGAATTTTATGGCCCCAGGGTCAGGAGTTCTGGTGTTAGGGTGGGGCTCTATTGTTTATATCGTGAAAATGCATAATCTCTTTAAAAATCTTCTTTTCTGCACCTGTGTATTAAACCAATGATCTATGTACATAGTTATGAGGAGGAAGGATGCCTCTTTGAGATTTGTGAATTTCAGGGCCCCTGGGTCAGGGCTTCTTGTGTTAGGGCGGGGCTCTAATGTTTATATAGTGAAAATGCATAAATTCTTTGAAAATCTTTTCCTTTGATCCTGGATATTATGGCAATGATCTTAGTATATATTTATGACGAAGAACGCTGCTTCTTCCAAAAATGCTTAATTTCCTGGCCCCTGGGACAAAGGTGCTTGGGTGGGGGGGGGGGGGGGGGTTGGGGGTCTCAAAATGATTTAATGCTTTGAAATCTGCACTTCGGTATTAATCAACAACATGGTGAAATAAAATTTCCAAAATTTTGAAGATGTGGCCCCAGGGTCAGTGGTTCCTGTGGGATGGGGTGCACAACTGATAATGATAAAATGGAAATGCATTTTCTCTTTGTTACTGTGATCTACATGTACCTCTGGGTATTACTAACCAAAGTAAGTATACTGAGTGCATAATTATGATAAGCAATGGTGCCTCTTTCAAAATTGTGAATTTCATGGCTTCTAGATTAAAACATGAATCAAATTCAATTGATGGAAAGTTGTTGCATGATACTCAGGTGACCTATAAGGCCCATGGGCCTCTTGTTGATATAGTGACATTTTCAAGTAATAAAAAATTCAAATCCCCCCTCCCCCAACAAGTAAACTTTTCAATACTGAGCTGATTTGTGTTTTTTTTAGCTCTACTGGTCAGAGACCAGAAGAGCTTATGCGATAGTAATGCATCCGTCGTCCGTCCATCCGTCTGTCTGTCTGTCTGTCTGTAAACAATTTTTCAAAATGCAACTCCTCCTACAGTTTTGGTCTGATTTCAATATAACTTGGCACACAAGTAGACTACACTAAGATACATAATTCAATGCATCGGTTTTTGATTTCAATGAACAGTGTTGCCATGGTTACTAAATTAAAATAGAAATTTCTGTGAAATTCTTTCAAAATGCTACTCCTCCTACATTTTTGGTCTGATTTCAATATAACGTGGCACACAAGTAGACTACACTAAGATACATAATTCTGTGCATGGGTTTTTGATTTTGATGAACAGTGTTGCCATGGTTACAAAAAATAGAAATTTCTGTGAAATTCTTTCAAAATGCTACTCCTAGAGATTTGGTCCAATTTCAATATAACTTGGCACACAAGTAGACAACACTAAGATACATAATTCGGTGCAACAGTTTTTGATTTCGATGAATGGTGTTGCCGTGGTTACTAAAAATAGAAATTTCTGTGAAATTCTTTCAAAATGCTACTCCTCCTACAGTTTTGGTCCGATTTCAATATAACTAGGCACACAAGTAGACTACACTAAGATACATAAATCTCTGCATCGGTTTTTGCTTTTGATGAATGGTGTTGCCATGGTTACTAAAAATAGAAATTTCTGTGAAATCCTTTCAAAATGCTACTCCTCCTACAGTTTTGGTCCAATTTCAATATAGCTTGGCACACAAGTAGACTATACTAAGATATATAGTTCTGTGCATTGGTTTTTATTTTGATTAGTGGCAAGAATCATTTTTTTTATTTATTGCTGTTTTAAAGTTTCAAGTCCCAACTGCTACTTTTCTCTTCCTTTGTTTTAAGTATAAACCAATAGAGCTACAGTCTCAACAGAGACTTCTGGTTTTTTTACTTGCCCATGTGCTCAGGTGAGTGATGTGGCCCATGGGCCTCTTGTTAGTCAAAGGGGAAATCCTTGAAGCAGGCAAATACTCATATAAAGTAAATATATTTTGATAAAAGCAATTTTAATGCAATTACAGCTATTCACTAATTCCTTTTTCAAGTAGACCTATCATGTACATGTGAGGAAGATAGAAACATGTTCTGGCAATTTTGAATTGATTGATTTGTTAAAGTTTGTGGTGAGATGCTGGAATTTGATTGGAGATTGGAACATTTCAATATGGAATTTGATATATGTAGAGTACCACTGCGAATTGATTATCTAATGATGCATTCAACTTAAGCTGTCCTATTATGGCCATGTGTTCTTCTTTTAGAAAATAATGATGTACGTGTCAGATTTATAGATAGATGATGCTTTAGAGTTGAAGATATCCCATTACAAACCTTCAGATTAATAAGAAATTCAATACATTTCTCCATTCAAGTAACAATTTGCAAATGTGTTAACCGAACCGAAATTCCTTTATTTAGAATCTGGCACATGCAGCCAGGTTATTTTGATAGGATGATAATTGCATGCTTTTTAGCTCACCTGAGCCGAAGGCTCAAGTGAGCTTTTCTGATCACATTTTGTCCGTCGTCCGTCCGTCTGTCTGTCTGTCGGTCTGTCTGTCAGTCTGTAAACTTTTCACATTTTTGACTTCTTCTCAAGAACCACTGGGCCAATTTTGACCAAACTTGGTACAAAGCATCCTTGGGTGAAGGGGAATTTAAATTGTTAAAATAAAGGGCCAAGTCCCTTCACAAGGGGAGATAATCAAGAAAAGACAAAAATAGGGTGGGGTCATTAAAAAATCTTCTCAAGAACCACTTGGCCATAAAATCTAAAATTTATGTAGATTCTAAATTGTAAAAATCATGACCTCCAGGGGAAGGGCGGGGCCACAATGGGGAATCAAAGTTTTATATAGAAATATATAGGAAAAATCTTTGAAAATCTTCTTCTCAAGAACCACTGGGCCAGAAAATCTGAAACTTATGTGGAAGCATCCTGGGGTAGTGTAGATTCTAAATTGTAAAAATCATGACCCCCGGGGGAAGGGCGGGGCCACAATTGGTAATCAAAGTTTTACATAGAAATATATAGTTTTTCTTTGAACCACTGGGCCAGAAAAGCTGAAACTTATGTGCACATGGAAGGATCCTGGGGTAGTGTAGATTTCAAAATGTCTAAATTATGATCAGTGGGATAGGATGGGAATGCATTATGTATTACAAGGGAGAAATCTGGTAAAGAACAGAATTGTCAAAGCTTCTCAGGTGAGCAATGTGGCCCATGGGTCTCTTGTTTAGCTCACCGGAGCTAAAAGCTCAAGTGAGCTTTTCTGATCACCTTTTGTCCATTTATCTGTCCATCTGTCTGTCCAATCTGTCTAACTTTTCATACTTTCAACTTCTTTTCAAGAACTTCAACCAAAGTTGATACAAAGCATTCTTAGGTAAAGATGAAGTAAAGTTATAGTTAGAATTAAGGGCAAAGTCCCCTAACAAGGGAAGATAATCAGGAAAAGACAAAGATTAAGTCAGATCATTAAAAAATCTTATTCTTTTCTTCTCAAGAACCACTGGCAAGAAAAGAGTATGTATTGGGTAGTGTAGATTCTAAAATCTGTCTTTGTTGTAGGGAGGTAAGGGAGGCAACTGGTGTTGATTATTGTTTTTGTTGTAGGGGGTAAGGGAGGCGACTGGTGTAGACATGATTATTGTTTTTGTTGTAGGGAGGTAAGGGAGGTGACTGGTGTAGACATGATTATTGTTTTTGTTGTAGGGAGGTAAGGGAGGTGACTGTTGTAGACATGATTATTGTTTTTGTTGTAGGGAGGTAAGGGAGGCGACTGGTGTTGACATTATTGTTTTTGTTGTAGGGAGGTAAGGGAGGCGACTGGTGTTGATTATTGTTTTTGTTGTAGGGAGGTAAGGGAGGCGACTGGTGTTGATTATTGTTTTTGTTGTAGGGAGTTAAGGGAGGCGACTGTTGTTGACATTATTGTTTTTGTTGTAGGGAGGTAAGGGAGGTGACTGTTGTGACTTTATTGTTTTTGTTGTAGGGAAGTAAGGGAGGTGACTGGTGAAGACATGATTGTTGTTTTTGTTGTAGGGAAGTAAGGGAGGTGACTGGTGTAGACATGATTATTGTTTTTGTTGTAGGGAGGTAAGGGAGGTGACTGGTGTAGACATGATTATTGTTTTTGTTGTAGGGAAGTAAGGGAGGTGACTGGTGAAGACATGATTATTGTTTTTGTTGTAGGGAGGTAAGGGAGGTGACTGGTGTAGACATGATTATTGTTTTTGTTGTAGGGAGGTAAGGGAAGTGACTGTTGTTGACATTATTTTTTTTTTTGTAGGGAGATAAGGGAGGCGACTGGTGTAGACATGATTATTGTTTTTGTTGTAGGGAGGTAAGGGAGGCGACTGGTGTAGACATGATTATTGTTTTTGTTGTAGGGAGATAAGGGAGGCGACTAGTGTTGACATTATTGTTTTTGTTGTAAGGAGGTAAGGGAGGCGACTGGTGTTGACATTATTGTTTTTATTGTAGAGAGGTAAGGGAGGCGACTGGTGTTGACATTATTGTTTTTGTTGTAGGGAGGTAAGGGAGGTGACTGTTGTAGACATGATTATTGTTTTTGTTGTAGAGAGGTAAGGGAGGCGACTGGTGTTGACATTATTGTTTTTATTGTAGAGAGGTAAGGGAGGCGACTGGTGTTGACATTATTGTTTTTGTTGTAGGGAGGTAAGGGAGGTGACTGTTGTTGACATTATTGTTTTTTTTGTAGGGAGGTAAGGGAGGCGACTGTTGTTGACATTATTGTTTTTATTGTAGAGAGGTAAGGGAGGCGACTGGTGTTGACATTATTGTTTTTGTTGTAGGGAGGTAAGGGAGGCGACTGGTGTAGACGTGGACATGAGGATCGGGGTGCACAGTGGGATGGTTCTGACATGTGGTGGTTTATTTACCTGGTAGACATTTTCAAGTTTATTTTTTACATTCAAAATTTAAATGGCAGTAGGGGGCTTTTTAATGTTAAAATCTGGTCTGATGATGTCACCATCGCTAATCACCCGAGACCCCCCTACAGCTTTTTTTACTTTTCTTTGGAATCATGTCTGGACTAGTGTTGACATTATTGTTTTTGTTGTAGGGAGGTAAGGGAGGCGACTGGTGTGGACGTTGACATGAGGATCGGGGTACACAGTGGAATGGTCCTGAGTGGAGTTCTGGGTCTGTGTAAGGGTAAGTTCGGGTAAGTAAATTATGATGTTGTCATGGAAATAGGATATTTAAAAGGGAGAGAAATTTTTAATGTAATTTAAAAAAAGATGAAATTCACATTGAAATTATTTGAAATTTCTTCAAAATTAAAAAGGACTACATGTATAGAATCTAAAAATTATGTCTTATAACGACTACATGTACATGTATAATGCATTACTTGAAAATTCAAATAATTTTTAAAAGTGACTTAACACCAAAAAAATAAGACAGGAACAGTTAACAACCTCCTCCCCCGAAAAAAGGAACATCCACAATTAATTAATCTGATAATTCTGGTACAAGTACAAAAAATTTTGATGAAAGTACAGAAAAAGGTTTGCTGTAAATAGAATGTTATTACAATTTCTATCATGCAACTATATGCTGCAGTATAAAATGAAAGATATATCTCATATTATTATTAAATTTCCACAAAACGTTGCCAAAGAGAATCTATATGCAGGCACAAATTGAAAATAAGTCAGGAATAGATAAGATTCTATTGTGTAAGATGGAATTGGAATTTTACGATTAGCTCAGCAACCACAAAAAATTATTTATCTCTTATGCTTAAAAATTTTTTAACTATTATTTATATTTATATTTTTATAAATAAAAAAGAAACTGCATGTACAAAGAAAGCAAGAAGTGATATAATTTTGTTGAGAGAATTACATGACCCTGTCTTTATAGTTAACTTCAGTCTGAACCCTTGCCCTTTGCAGCTCTGAATTAAATCTGTGCTAAAAGAAAGAATGCAGAAATTGCTTTGGTCAAAAGGCACATGCTAAACCAAAGGTTTAAAAACAGAGTGAATTTAACTTTTATTTTTGGATATAATAAATGCCTATCATAGTTATTGGATATAAATATATAATGCCTATTAAGTTTTTATAGTTGTTTGATATTAATTAAAGCCTCTCTTAGCTATTATAAATAACTCAGATTCAGATTTAAGATTTTATTAAAAACAAGGGACTTATTACATCTCATAGGTATAAATACATTCATACCTAGCATTAATTCAAGGTACTGACATAAGAACTCATGATTACAGATCAATGAAAACTCCACAAAATGAAAAGAGGAAGAAAACAGTGTAAATGATATTGAGTCTTCATAATGAAAAAAAAAATTTCTTCCGCTAAACCTTAAGATGAAACATTAACACTTTGTAATTGTAATGCTTTCTTAAGAAGCTATAAATCTTGGTATGCTTACTGATATAGAAAGATTCGTTGCTTTGTTTCAGTAAGGTCCACATCACTAAGGAGACCCTGGAGTACCTGAACAATCAGTTTGAGGTGGAGCCGGGGGCGGGGCAGATGAGGGACGCATACCTGGCTGAACACAACATCGACACCTTCCTCATCAAACCGAAAGTCAGAAAGGTAGCTACCACCTTAATAATAGTACAGAGGTGAAAATCATCAAACCGAAAGTCAGAAAGGTAGCTACCACCTTAATAATAGTACAGAGGTGAAAATCATCAAAACTAAAGTCAGAAAGGTAGCTAACACCTTAATAATAGTACAGACTCTGAGGTGAAAATCATCAAAACTACAGTTAGAAAGGTAGCCTTCTACTGGAATTATACATAAATATCTTAATTAGTACAAATGTGAAAGTCTGCATACCAAGAAACTAAATTAATTTTATTGTTTTTTTTTTTTTGCTCAATTTTAAAAAGACAAAATTTTTCATTAAAAAAAATTGTAACTTATCTGAAATATGAGAATCAAAAATTTTATATTAATTTGAGAAAGATTTCTTTTAATTTATGTACTTGAATTTTCTACAAAATAAAGTAAAGATCCATAAATGAATTTTCTACAAAATTAAGTAAAAATCCATACATGAATTTTCTACAAAATTAAGTAAAAATCCATACATCAATTTAAAAAAAAAAATGTTTTACATACAGACATCAGAAGAGTAGTATGTTCAGTGGAACAATAAAATTGGGATTATCAGCAAATGATGTTTAGGGATTGCAAATAACATCACCTCATTGACCGATTTCCTTTGATAGGTACTGTGTTTCATTTGAATGAAAGAGAATTATTTACTGGTTCAGCCACTTATAAGCTTAATTATGAAAGCTTGTATTTTACTGAATCTGTACATTCCTCGTTTCATTTTTTGATCGATGTTCTAAATGGTTAAAACACTGGGTGCATTTTTTATTGTCATTTAGTAAAGAGAATGCAGCTGGGGGTGAATTAGATCACTTAGTCCATAATGAAGCAAATAAAGAAAAAGGCCCATGCATAATACAGAGTTTCTGATCAATTGGTACACTTGACAACCTGAATTTTTATTTCCATTCGACACATTTCCCATAAATCAAAGTCCTGATACATTTATGAACAACAGAACAACCTACTGCTTATTTTTAAGCTACACCTGGGAGTTAAGGTTATTTTATATGCTCAATAAGTAGAAGTATTGCTTTAACACCTGAATAAAACTTAACACCTTTCATACAATCTTTATTTGATTAACACAGCAATATATATTCTCTCATGTTTGGTCTCTTATTTTTTTTTTTGAGGCGCATCGTTTTCGATGCAGCCTCATTGCGATTACCTAGCTTTTCTTTCTTGTTTACAGCGGCGACAAAAGACTCAATAATATTGATTCTTAACACGCTATTAAAAATAGTTCCAATGTATATTGAAAAGTTGGCGATATCCATAATCTAATTTTAAACAGCAAATAACATAAAATCTCACACATAAATGTTGTTTTTGCTTTGAATCAATAAAGGTTACGAAAAACGAAAAACAAACAATTAAAAACAAAGAAATAAAACATCAACAAATGAAGGAGCACAAGTAAGATCTATTTGCATAACAACAGCTCGTACTATAAATTATTCGGTTTTGTAAGGTGCAATTACTTGTATTCCTATCAGGAAGCATCACTAACATTATTTTTAAAAAAATATATCACTAGCAATTGAGACATAGAAACAGAATCGTTGTTTTTTTTTTTAAATAAAGTGGATGTTATTATTTTTTCACTCGAGTAAACGAATAGTAAGATGTCCAACTGAATAAATTTTTGCACAAGCGCCACCTGTCGGGAAAATATTTCCACGAGGTCACAAACAGCGATATGATCGGATATATTGGTGAAATGTCAGTTAAATATGATGATTGTCTAATAAAAACTGCAATTACTGTGAATTTCAATTTATAGTGTTTCTAATACCTTATAAACATAGACTTTTTAAAAGTTCAATCCTAACCACTAAGGTTTCGTAGCTAAAATTGTATGGAAAATATTGGAGGGAACCGCTGCCATTGACGAGTTCATAAGAAACCGTGTACCAAGCCGGATTGTTTTTATTTAGTCCTGTATTATTTATATGAACATTTCATGTTTATAACTATTGTTTACGTATTGTGCCATCTTGATTGAGAAAAAGAAGTTAAAAACAAAGTTGTGATATTTATAAAAGTGCAAATAATGAAAGAAACTGAAATAATTCAGATATGAAATTATGTAGAATTACGTATTCAGTAATCATTACTACACAGTAATTTCTATAATGTCATTCATTATTTCATCTCCGATTCCTACTATGCTATTAGTCAAAGAATAACCTTAAAAAAATTAAAATATGATTAAAATCAATAATGAATTTATTTAAATATCAATTAATCGTAATTGATATATCAGACTATCTTTTTTTTTTTTTTTTTTAAGGTAATTTTTTACCCTCCTGATCGACTGGCTAAAAATGCCATGGCTCAATTGTCTGAACCTCAAAGAAACCTTACTTAATTTTTTTTAATCCTTATTACTGGTTTATTTCATTAACATTAACGTTGAATAAGAAAAATATTTATCCCTCACTGCGATGCGCCTCTCAGGCCTTCAGGCCTTTGATTTTTTACAATAGAATTGCCTGTGCAAGGTACAACAGAAAATGTTTGACATCAATAAAACTGTCATTTCATGCAGTGAAGATTATAAATCAGGTGATTTTCACCTTAATTTATTAAGCAGAAAAAATCCCTGGAAGTATAGTATTCATCTAATGTAGGAAACCAGGTGTAAAAGCAATATAAAATTTCTTAAATTAAATGTGAATGTTTGAAATTTATGGAGTCAAACATTCACTTGTTATACATCTATACATATATCACTTGTAATAAATCTACATGTATCACTTGGTTAAAGAAAACAAAACTAATGTTTATTGTTTCTTTTGAACATTTTAGTGAACCCCCCAAAATGTATGCGCTAAAATATTGACTGGACAGCATTAGTGCAATACATGTATAATTAAACTCAACTTATTACTGCAATATTACAGACTTTAAGTTACTAGTGCCATATTGCTGACTTCTTTACTTGTCAGTGCAATATCACTGATCTTTATACTTGTCAGTGCAATATCACTGATCTTTATACTTGTCAGTGCAATATCACTGATCTTTATGCTTGTCAGTGCAATATCACTGACCTCTATATATACTTGTAAGTGCAATATCAGTGACCTCTATACCTGTCAGTGCAATATCAGTGACCTCTATACCTGGCAGTGCAATATCAGTGACCTCTATACCTGGCAGTGCAATATCACTGATCTCTATACTTGTCAGTTCAATATCACTGACCTCTATATATACTTGTAAGTGCAATATCAGTGACCTCTATACCTGTCAGTGCAATATCAGTGACCTCTATACCTGGCAGTGCAATATCAGTGACCTCTATACCTGGCAGTGCAATATCACTGATCTCTATACTTGTCAGTTCAATATTACTGACCTCTATACTTGTCAGTACAATAACAGACCTCTATACTTTTATACCATTGACCAAGCAATTAATCTAAAATAAATGTAAGAATATTAAGGTCATATTTAAAGTATAAAGTTAGATCATGTAAAACAGAATTGATTAATAAATTCCTGTATAATAAAAATAAATATAAAACAAATAAAAAGTAACAAAACATTATTTGATATTTTTCAGTTTGATGAGAATCGGACGATCCGTTCCCGATATGAGAGTAGTCTACGAGCTTCACTCCGAGTCACCAAATATCTGGAAAACTGGAACGTGGACAAACCATTCGCAAGCCTTCAAGTCAGTCCCATGGCAACCAAGTTACTGAGTGTCACCGTAAGTATCCATATTTATGTAATAAGTTGAAAGTAAACATTTTAAAAATGGGCAATGATATTAAATTTGTCTTAATTTGGTTTGTGAAATTAATGTCTTTGTGAGTGTTTGTATGTGTGTGTATTAGGGGGTATATTTTATCAAATGCTAAAAAAAAAATGAGAATATGACTTCTGATTGTAATGTATAAATGCTGATGTCCTGGCTACTGGACTCTGTCAGGGTGAAATGATCTGATATATAACATAGGTAAGAGTGACACGGATTCAGATGATCCCTGTCCTTCGCTTGTCTATCATAAACCATGGATTATTGGCCACTGAGGATAATTGTGATTAGAGGATGATAGATTTTCTGTTGATGATGGGTCTCCACTGAGAATTTTAAAATGATATGACTAATCACTGAAGAACATTGTCATATAGTATGTCATGAAAGAAAAGAGTAATTAATACTCTGACTGGCACACTTTAATACATGGAGTTCTAAAATTTATTGTTTAATATATTGCCACCACTTCTTGGTCAGTATTTAATAGGTAATTCTTCCATGGGTAACTGTAAAGTCAATGCCATAGAAAATTAAAATAACAAATAAGTTTTGCATTATCAAAAATATGTATTTTTGGGTACTAGGCTTCGTTGTTTGTTTTTGTCACATTAGTTGAATTTATCAGGTATGCCAGAAGCCCTCGGGGTTTTAATCCCAGTTGAGACTTGATTTTTCACCACCTGTGACACTCTATTTTGATTCTTCATTCTTAATTTTAATACTTGATATCGCAATTACTCAACTTATCGGAACTCTTTCGTGATGGAGGTAGGAAACGTTTGTTGGATGGGGGCAATTGTGCTATTGAATATATGATGCAAGATCGGTCATTGTAGAGTTTATTAGGACAGATAAGTAAAAAATCCTGGTGGAATACCTTCTTAAAAATCGCTGAACCAGCCTAATCAATTTTTGAGATGAGCTAATCCTAAAATGTTACATTTTTAACAACATTTTTAACTAAGCGGACTCTTCTCATTAAATTTTCAATGAAAATCGCCACATTTTGAAGCTGATAAAATATTCTTAACTTTCCTTATTTGACAATCTACTATTTGGAGTCAAATTCTTGGCAATACATTGTTCTTTGGGCATTAAATTGTTCGAATCATTTAATTGTTAGTACTGTATAAAACAATGTCATGTGCCCCCAAAATCTAGAGCTTTCTTGACTTGATCCCCCGCAAAAGGTAAAGTAAGTTAGATAACTGCGAGGTACTCGCAATATTACGTATTCCAGTTTCTTCTTTTGACTATTTTTCTGTTCTAGACTATTTTGTTGATTAAGGATGTCATGAGATCATGTCATAAATAGTCAAGATATCAGATATTCAGATATATGGAGTATACATTAGATATATTGCAGTTTCCAAGATATCCATAAGTGCTCAAATATGTACTGTAGTTAGGGCTGGGCAATAATATCGATATTTCAATATATTGCAATACATTGACAAAAAATATCGTATCGCAATACGATTTTGTAATATCGATATATTGGCAATATGCTAAGATTAAGGAATTTTGTCATTAAATATAAAAATGGACTTATGAAAGTTTGTTATTAAGCCAAACAGTATGAAAGAAGTTGTTTTGTGGGAACATTTCAGAGCATAACTTTAATGAAACCAACAATTTTTTTTTCAGTGTTGGTTACTTATCATAGTTATGTACATTCTGCATGTAAATTAAAGTAAATATAGTAAGAAAATGTCATTTGAATTACATTGAAAATATTGCAATACATATCGCAATACAGTTACAAATATCGCAATATATCGCAATACGAAATCTCGGGCCAATACCCAGCCCTAACTGTAGTTTTGTTTTTAATTTCATGCCCACATTTTTGAGAAATGATAATTTTTAGAAAAAAAAATGTTGATAATTATATTGTTGACTTCCGTTCTCTACCAGTATTTAGTTTCAGCAGACATGTAAAATATTGCAATTTTTTTTTTGCCACATCAAGTCAGCTCAAGATAAGACTAAAGTGACTGAATTTAGAAACTAAAGAGAAACTTGATGTTGCATTGTAGTTGGTTTCAGTCACGGTGATGTAACCCGAAAAATTATTTCAAATGTATCAATAATAAATATAATGAAACTTCAAATGATAATTGTCTGAAAGACCCAGTTTTTCAAGTTTTTTTTATTTGATTTGTTAGGAAGTATTAGAAATTCTATATTTTTTAGCATATTTATTTGGTCTTAATTGATAAGGAGATTTGCTTCGCATGCTCTTTTTTTACTCAAGTGTGGATTAGAGGAACCTTTGAAGTTTAAAATAAAACCCATAGTTTTCTTCATAGTTGAGAACTAGCTAGCTGTGTATATGAATTGTTCAGCTAAATTTAAGGACTGATAATAAAGTGAAATCTGGCAGTATTGATGCTGGGCTTATTAATACTGGACTAACATTTACACAGGGCTGATTAGGTATATTGACCAGGAGACTTAATGAAATCTCTTTTTCCAAACTCGTATAAATAATCAGCAAATACCGGTAGTACATAGGGAAGTGATTTGGAATTAAACGGTCATAAGTAGCCAGGAGGCACAGTATAGGTGTAGTCAGGTACAGAGTGCACCTGTCAACAGCAGCTGTAGAACTGTAGCTCATAGGCTGCCACAGATGGGAAATAATTCCTTTTTACAGTACAGTCAGGTTTTTGATCAGTGTGTTCTATCCCACATATATATATTTATATCTTTAAGTTAATATTAAGTCAAATTAAAAAATATTTTAATTCTAATGATTTTCCCAAATTTTAAGAAAAATTAAAAACTTTGTTGTAAAAAAATCTAATGTGTTTGAGTTTCCCAAAAAAATGTGGCATATAATTCATCGAAAAAGTTATAATTAGATTGAAACTTAATAGGTTATGATTACTATAATACATAATCCTGTAATAATGCAATTGTGTTGTAATGCAATCCTGTAATATGTTGTAAATCCTGTAAAATGTATCTTATGTTTTATGTCAACAGAAAGATTATCATGATTTCATGTTTGTAAGTGTTACTATGGTGACCAGGTTGAATTAAAATTAAACCCTCCTTCTAACTAACCAGGTGTATAATTATTGTCTCTGCTCTTGGGAAGACTAACAAAGTCAATCAGGTGAAAATTAAATATTGTTAAATACATTGTGTTTCATGTAGAATATCATAGTAAAAATAATTCATTAGTTAACAGGATCTGCCCTTCTCTGAAATATTTACCAACATTGTCCAAAATATAGCTTGAATGACAAAAATGACAATATAGATATAGAGATATTACATTTTCTGTGGTACACAGAGAGAGTTGTCTATGACAAGGAATCTGTCAATACAGTCTAACCTTGTTATCTCACCCTCAATGGTACAGGAAAATAAGTCTGAGATATCGGATGATGGGAGATATCTAGGATTAAATAGTTTAAGAATAAGGAGTTAGGACCTTCAAATCAATTCGAGGTATCTTTGGTATTAGAGATATCAGTGTTTGAGATACCCAAGTTCAACTGTATTACTTTCACTGTCAAGGAGCGAACTTAAAGTACAATTCAACTTTTCATTGTCTAGTAAAGTGCAGAATATATCATGTACAGTATGATTTTCAAGTATGTTGGCAGTTCTTAAAGTCAATAAACTCAGGTCCTTATAATCAATTTATTAGTTTCCCCAAACATGTAGGATTTCAGGTTTAATAAACACAGTAATGTTTCTCATACAGCTGAAATCAAGTCACTTAATTGACTCAACTTGATCTGGAATATATCTGAAAACTGTCAGATCTTAAGCATCAGTAATTATATTATTATAACCAAATCAGTCATCTTTTTATTAAGCAGTCCCAAAGGAATATATCGGGATATAAATGACTATTAGGTTGAATTAATTGGAGTTCAACAGTGCAGGACTATATATATATGAAGAATAAAATTTGTTATCAAGGCATTAAATCAGCTGATCTCAAAATAGCCCATACATCTCAATAAAATCTCTGTATAGTGATGCTCTTTGAAGTGATGGAATATTTCATTTGAATGGAATGTTTGAGTCTTTCTTATCGAATATCAGTTGATGTTCCCTCGCATTATGGAGTTGGAGTGACATGCTTGTGTTTGTGTGTATGTTTGTTTGTTCTTGTGCAAAACGGAAATTCATAATTTGCATAAATGACATCATTTGCATTGGGATTAATGTTCCACTTTGAGGTGCACTTATTATGTACACACTGATATGCCCAAAATATTCCATTCATAGAAGAAATATGTTAATCACTTTAATGTGCTTCATCGTAAAATCTACAAAATAATTCCTGAATTTCTGAAAAACTGACCCTTAAGATTAATTAAATTTACGATAATAAATTGGACTAAATTATTACACACATGTGATTAAAGAGTTTTCAACCTTTATGCTATATTTTAATAGGCATCCAATGACTAATGGCTTAATTAGATAGGAAACTGAATTTTTTTGATGGAAAATATCAGATGAACTCCTTTGTAGAAAATGATTTTATTTCCTAAAGCATAAAGAAGCAACACTTATAATCATGTCAAAGCTAAAATACTGTGCAATCACAAATTTTCGTTGTTTTCGAGGGATGAAGAGGCCCACGAATTCATGTCCATCGCGAAATGTAACATACATAAATACTCAACAATCCTTCATCCATGAATTCAAATCCCCACGAACCAAAAGTTTTTACTCAAACCACGAAAAGTTGACCCCCGAAAATATGTGATTTTACAGTATTAAACAAAAGAATTTTTTAAAACTGAATTCTTGCCAGTCAGATAAAACTCTATCACGACCAGTTTAGTTTAGTGTTCCAGTTTAGTTGCCCAGCAATAATTCTACTCTGTATGACACAGATCATTCCTGTAAGTTTCTGGACAGGTAAATATCACTGCATGTTCACCTCACTAATAAAGGGGGCTTAACTCTTACTA